TTTCCTGGGATTGTTTCAATACTTTGAGTTTCTATGGATTTAAAACTGTCTCTAGAATTCTTTATTTTGGAATTTCTGAGCTTCAAAGACTTCTAAATTTACTTCCGTTCAGGTCGAGTGTGATTTTTCTTCAATTTCTGGTACTTCTTGAATCCAGCGTAGTTAACTACTAGCGACTGATGATATCTCAGGTAAATGGGTTTTTCTTCTTTCCTCGCTTCAAAAGTGTAATTTTGGAGAACACTTGCCAGTTTGATTTGTCGAAGCATCTTAGCCATCCGTGGCTGAAGCGCTGACAGCAGAATCACTGGATGGGAAGACTTTCACACTTATGGTTCCCTATGCAAACAGTCAGATGTAGCAGATTTGGTGCAATGAGGATTTTCCTACCACTATCATTGAGTGCGAGGAAGAAATTGAATAAACTCCCTCGAAGATTGGAAGTTCGCACTTCCTCGCAAATTGTCTGACTTTATTGGCAGAGATGTTAAGCGTAGTGGGGACTTCCATGATTGATTTTTCCTCTGTTTTGAGGATAGTCCACGTATTATTATTTTAATAAATAGATCTTTTTTTGCAGATAGTAGATCGCAAGATTTCTTTCGTCCTCGGTGTTGAAATCTAATGTGATCAGGCTTTAGTGTGCCCACAAAATCAAAACATGTATGAGCGGGGAAAAGTCCTGATAGCTTTTTCAGTTCACATCAGGCCTTAGGCAAAGGATGGGAGAGAGTTTTCGTTGCGGAGCTATGTTAGCTAGGATTTTCCCAGATTCTTCAATTTTCTTCTGGCGTAAAACTGACTATTGGTTGGAATTACGTAGCTTCAGTGGAGAACTTTGACTTGGCTGACTTGCGGAGTGAGTTCCAATCGATTTCTTTTGTAGATGATCTTCGGAGTTGTAAGCCGCAGCCGAGGCCCCGAACTTTTTCGCATTCTTTTCCTTTTTAGTCACTTTTGTTGGGGGAACAGAGTCCTCTGTTCTTTCAGAGTTAATCGTATTTAGCTTTAAAGACGGATATTCAGCAGCAGCAGCGAAAACTTTATTGGAAGGCCTTGAGTCTCAAGTTCTTATGTCGGTGGTGAGTCCGAATGCAATAGGGAAAAAAAAAAAAACAACGATTATTTTCTTACTACGCTCAGCGTCAGTAAGACTTTGCTGGAAATCTAATGCAGTTTCATGCAGGATTTTCCTTACATGACGGATATCAATGAGAAATTGTAAATAAGAATGAAACAGTATAAAACTGTCAAGCCTTTATCGATAAAATGTGCAAACCAACTAACTGGTTGTTAAATCTTCACAATGAACATCTTCTGAATCGATGCGAGCAGGCAAACGTTTAATTAGTGCTCTAAAACAATGTAAACAAGCAAGCATTTAGACAGTGCTATATCCGAAACGATGCTACGCATACATTTTTACCATTCTATTTCTAATACATGGTTTGGTTATAGAGCGAAAACATATAAGGAGGTTATGTCCATACATGGTTATTAAAAAGCACTGATAATAAATAGTTTCACATTAGCAACAAATGAGTAGTAACCCTTGTTACTTTTGTATGTGCAACTGAAAGTATCTTTGTTGCCTTTGTTTTTGCCATTTTACATCGAAGAGGTCTTTCGCAGGATTCGTTTATGAATTCCGCCCTGCAGAAAGTCCACTTATGCGAAATCATTAAATCGTAAAATTAATTAAAGGAAAAGATGCAATATGTTATTTCTTTAAAATATCTGGTTGTAACGAAAGTTTTCCGCCAAAAACGTTCTTAATAAAGTTAGAGAAAAAACATGAAAGCAATACCTTTAGTGCAGTTCTTTAATCACCATCCAAATCTATGATTTTCGGACTGGTAATTTTTCAAAATCTCCGGCCCAGAAACTTGGTGGCCGCGAGTCCAAATACAGATCAACTTCATTTCGGACGTTCTGTGCAGAAAGAAAGATAGCACCAGCAAGATGTAGCTGCAGGTGTGAAAAAAGCTAGAGGTCCGAAGGAGCGATATCAGGGCTAGATGGTAGGTGGGGCAAAATATCTCATTCGAGACCGTACAGAGTCCAGGCGGTGAAGGCAAACACATGTGGTCTTGCGTTATCTTGATGAAACATGCGCCGGAACTCATTTTGACGTTTTTCGTGTATAGCAGCATCAACAGGGATTCGCTGTGCACATTACTTTGGAGGTTTTTACCTTTTTCCAGGTACTCCTTCCAAATATTACTTAACCCTCTTTTCGGATAATATCATAGCAGTTCCACGAGATACAAAGCTTGATCTTTTTGTTAGTCAAATTGCGCCTTGCGATGCCGGGTCCAGATCAACCCTCTTTTCGGCCTGTGTTCTTGAAGTAAATTCACCTTTCATCACAAATGATCCGATACAGGATTTTGTCCTTGCGTTGATATTAGAACAGATTAGTGCAGGCATGTCTGGTCCTTATCTGCTTGACGCTGGCACCCAGCGAATGAACTTGTACGTCAAGTTTATGCGATACATAGCTCGACTAATGAACAGGACACTAACGTCTAACTTTTTTAGCAAGCTCTCGAGTGGTTGCATACTGAACTTCTTCCACAAGTTCTCGCAGGTGGACCTCATCAGCATCAGTAGGTCGGCCAGAGCGCTCTGCTTCTTGAATGATACAGTGCTTATTTTTGAACCCTTCACAGGGTCATATTAGTAGCTAATGTTGTACACGTGATATGGTGACATAGTGTAACTGACATTTTGCAACAGAACTGGAAGTAAATGATGGTTCTAATCACGTAGCGTGATAGTTTTATTTCAGACGCCTTGTACTTAATGATGACGCTAATTTTTTACAAATTTCACAACACAGTGTTCTAAAGCAAGTCTCTTTCTTTCAGATGCGCAAAGTCGTTTGATAAAATATGATTTAACATTCCAGCGCGAAATGTTTGCTCAGACGATATTTGGGCTAATCTTTGGAATATGGTAACAGGTAGTTTGGCGACATTTTGGTAAGGCGATAAAGGTTACTGGCTAGGACTTTAGTAGTGTACATGGATAAAGTCAAGAGTGTGCGCAATGCCATTTTTGTGCAATCCTGGGATGTATTTTTAAGTGAAAATAGATCGACATGTACATGGATACCGTGTATGTGCAATTCTTAAAAACGCGGAAAGCAGTGGGCGATTCTGCACTGTCTCCCAATTTCGCATCTAATCTTCGTCATGATTAAGCATTTTTGTTCCATAAAAGTTCTAGTATAAGCGTAATTTGGTTAGCAGATTGTTGGAAAAAATGTTGAGTTAAAAAAAAAAAAAATGCCTTTACTTCGTGAAAACAAAATGGCGTCCAAAACAAAACTAGCAGGTTACTGTAGCAGGGTTGGTCGCCAAATTTTCGCCAAAAAATTGACAAGTTACCATAATCCGAAGATTAACCGATATTTGCGATGAAGAAAAACTTTCGTTAAAACGCTATAAATTATTTGATTCGTGTAAGAGTAATCAGGTTATTATATTCTCTATTTTGTGTTCGAACATGAAGTTTTTTCAACATAGAATTTTGTAGGAGGAACAGAGCAGATCATTCTTCTTATCCACTGTTAAAACTTAGCTGCTGAATCGTTATAGGTAGGCAGTTAAAGAAGATTTTCTTGGGAAGATATTTAGTTAGCATTATAGTGCTATTTTGCGAGTTTTCAAAATTTCAAAATCTTGTTTCATGTGCCCTCAACTAATCGATCTTTTGAATACTGAGAATATTAATCAAGCGAAAAATGCATGTTCTTACTGTCAATACATAATACCTGAATAAAGGCATACATCTAAATGAAGGAGATTTAATCGTGAAAATTGGGCCTAAAACCGTGAGGATAATGTACTCATATAATACAAATCCAATGCCAAACGTACCCATATCAAACTAATATCACAATTTGGCAATTACTGAACTAGTCTGTATTCTTTAAATCCACTGAAGACCACTTTACATGCCTATGTATATGCTCATAGCCTAACACAGTATTTGTTGAAAACAAATTCAGTTCATCAATTTCTTAATTTTCCAAGTTGAAGCAAAAGACTTAACTAGACCTAAAGAGCAAGTAAAGTAATCATTAACAGCAGTGAATTGTACGAATTTTCGTTGTTATTTAACTTATAATGTATTTTCGCCCTCCTTTTCGCATGCCTTCATGGTCTAACTGGAAAGCATACTCGACGCATTTCGGGGAGGTATGGCGTGCGAATCCGGACTAGGGTACTGCACATTTTTCACGTTCAGCATCGATATAACCTAATGACTCTACTGTGGTGCCCGAGCTAAAAGGTGGCGGACGATGATTCGTCACCATAAGGATTTGGCGTTTGGGTTCCCTCATACCCATTGGCCTTTTAAAAGAAGGAGTGTATTTTCTCACTCCTTTCCGCATCTTTTCGTAGTTTAACTCAAAGCACACTCGATGTGTGTTCGGAAGTCCAGCGCTCGAATACCGACGGAGACATTGCGCATTTTTCACGCTCCAGCATCCATATAACTTAATGACTCCACAAACTCTAACATGTAGATTGCAAATTTGGTCGAGCAAGCATTTTCACAACTCGGTAAAGCAGTACTCAGAGCATGCCATATCTTATGCAGAAGTAAAATAGTGCTTGAAACGTTTCAAATCCTATCAGAAAGCCGTTGTAAACGATTAAAAAAAAAAAAAAAAAAAAAAAAATGGAAGAGGTGTCAGTTTGTATACAAACTGACTTATGACCGAAACTGCACTTATGAATGGGTGGAGTGAACCGTATTCTTTCAAACTGACGGTTCCAGGTTCAAAGATCTTCTGTATAAATACGCGAAATGAAGTAGGACAGCAGAATATAAAATCAGTCATTTGGGATATGCTTTGCAGTTATACTGAAATTGCTGGTATAATTTGTATAATTTGAAGAGAAGTAAAGTTTTAGATTTGCTTGCAGTTTGGTATAGTTTATTTCATTACTTTCTTTTCAGTGTTCTCAAAGATTTTTATTTTGCAGGTGTGGAAAGGTTAGTAAAGCACCTACATGCAAACAGTGTTCCCATTGCCATTGCCACTAGTTCAAAGAAAAAAACATTTGATTTGAAGGTCACAAATCATAAGGAACTCATCAGTATGTTTCATCATGTCGTCTGTGGTTCCAACGACCCTGAAGTGAAACAAGGAAAGCCAGCGCCTGACATTTTTCAAGTTTGTGCTAGTCGGTTTGACGACAAGCCACCTCCTGAAAAGGTAAATTAATTTAATGTATACTACGACTATTGTATATTCAATGTACAGCGATTTCAAAAGAGTCTGTGGATAGATAATAAATTTTATAAGGAATTAATATAGTCGGTTACCAAATTTAAGTCATTCATAATGATTTTCTGCAATATCGTCCATTGTTTCGCTGACCACGAAATACATTGAATGATTGGTGGCAAGCAGATGAAACAATATTACGTTACAACCATATCACAGTTTTCCAACATGTTGTAAAGTTCCTCACTTTGTAGATGCTAAGTTACAGTTGAACGTGAAGAATCTTAAGAACTGATAAGCGAATAATCGCTTGAGTTCGTGTGACAAGAAACAACAAGGTGGAAGGGTAAATAACCCTTTATTATTCAAATAACATTTAACAGAACTCTCTTAGAGTGTACAATAAAAGCCGACACTTGGGCTTGAACTTAAGAGGCTAAGAAGTAAATTAAAACTAATCTAAACTAAAGAGGTATAGCTGAAGCTGTCAAGATTCTAACTGAGATGGCCCCCTTAACGCTAATAGACTGCGAAGCTATAAGGGCCTAACGAGTTGCCTAAAAAGGTGGACAGAATAACTAGTAACTATCTCGCTAAGACCGAAGAACTTCGAGGTTAAATACCGTTCTTCCTCATTATGTATTCAGAAGTGATTCTAAAACTACGTTCTGGCCGGAAGTAGTAAGTTGAAGTTAAGAATTTGACTGGAAAGAAGTTTTAACTATAAATTTAAGCGTTAATAAAATTAACATAATGCTTACAGTGTGACTATAACCGAGACAACATTTTTTTGAATGGTGCTTTGATTCATTGAAGCATGGCATAGTAAAGTGCAAATGAACTATTTGACCTTCGAAAGTGTAAAGTTGTTATTGTTACTGAGATTAAAACTTGGAACGGGGTATCCTTCATGAAAGTCATGAACAAAACATCGGTTCTGGCCTTAGTTCTATTGGGAGTTCTATTGGGAAATTATATTAGTTCTATTGAGATAATTATATTAGTTCTATTGGGAATTATATTAGTTCTATTGGGAAAACTAAATTGTTATATTTTATGCAAATCCTTTACTATGCTGATAGCCTCGTTTAAAGATAAGTTTTATATCTCGAATTTAAGTTTTTTAGCAATGTACGTTGTTCGGTGTCGGCAATTTCATTCTTTCTGGAGAGGTGCGCATGAGTGAAGTTATTCGCTTGTTTTGCTTTTTAAATTATTTCATTCTTTTACCGAAAGAAAAAACTTTTTATCTTTAATGGAAAGATCAACGTGGCTTCTTCTTTCTCCTCTCCCGTAATTTATTTTTTCTCTTTCAAACCGGATGATTTGTCTTCTTTTCTGCTTTTTTCTTCTTCTTGCTGTTCCTTAAGTTTAATTAACATCGATTGACACGTGTAAAAAATTAATTTGATTTAGACACCACGTGACTTCCTTGTACGCCTATTAAATTGTGCACATTTTTTGTTGCACTTCATTTAAACTTATTTTTTCCAATTATTCTAATTTAATTAAACGATTGCTCAAAACAAGTTGAAAATGGTATCAAAAACTGCAAATTTTTTTAATTAAATATCTTGGTCAAATTTGTCGTACTGGGGTCAGATTTCTTGTATTTTTTTTCATAACGAGAATGCAACTATCCCAAATATAATTAGGAGAACGTGGACGCCGCATTAAATTATATGTCGTTATTTATCCCAAACTAATTGTTTTTTAATCTAACGGTGCCAAAACATTAATAGTTTCGTCATATAAAACACTTCTATAACTGGAAGTATATGACTATGACCAACGATTGCGAAAATAAAAGCCGAGTAAGGACTTTTAAGACATATAAGCGGATGGGTATATATAAGATATACGTTTGGTACTGCCGATTTCAATAAAAGAGAGAAGTGCACAACTAGATGTTAAAGCAATACCGTATACAAAATTTCATATTCTACGAATTACACTAAATTTCATACAAAATTTCATATTTTTGAGTTATACGAGATACATACTTATGTACAGACTTCACGAAAAAATCCATTTTTAATCCATTTTACAATCAGTTTTGGAACAAAGAGTCTCGTAATCTATCCGTACTTATCCCCCGGAGGGTCGGCTGGGGGCAGCCTCGGGCTTTCTGTCTAAGACCTGTACTTAAAAAGACTCATTAAGGGCCGTTCTCACAGGGGTTTATTTGAGCTAACGGAGTCAGTTCCATATGTCGACTAGCTCCGCTGTGCCTGCAATTCAGATTTTTCAACTTGCTGCCCTATGGTAAAAAACTAGTTTTGGAGATGGGTCGGCTACATCAGCTGTGTTCGTTAGCTCAGCTAAACCCCAGTGGGAACGGCTCTTTACGGAGCCATCTCCAAAACCAGTTTTTTTCCCATAGAGCAGCAAGATGAAAACTCTGTACTGCAGGCATAGCGGAGCTAGTCGACTAATGGAACTGACTCCGTTAGCTCATGTAAACCCCAGTGGGAACGGCTCTTAATCAGTTTTCACAGTGACTAGAACCATCGTTTATTAAGTGGCAGGTTCAGGCTTGGCAAGGACCGTACTGGTATTATCTGAGGAGACGTTACATGGTTAGATATCGAAGGTTGTCCTTCGGGAGGGGGGGGGTTGGCTTTCCTTGGTCAATACTGGGGAAGAGTTCGTTACCTTTGCAGGTGCTACTTACCGATCGCCATTGATTTGCAATTCATAAACTTTGACTACGTGCAGTTTATGTCCCCCTGGGATGAATGGGGATGTTATAACTCCTTGCATAGGGGTTGGGGCATTTATAACCTTATAAAGGCTTTATAAAGCGCAGGTCCCTTCTCCCTAGTATACTGTCCATACGTACAGATGTCACGCCAAAAAATAGTCTAAATGAATATCGTTGAAATCTCATAACCTAAATTTTTAACGATTTTAATGTTTCCTTTACTTTGTAGAAAGGAGAAAAAAGATACCTCTGTGTCTCAAAGAAGAAAATACTTGTTTTTATGTGGCAAGAAAAGATACTGGTCATTAACTATATCGTTTTGAAATTAAAAATTTGTATAGCGTTAAGAACATGTTGCTGAGTACAACACAAAAACAGCAAAAAATGATTTATTTAAATTTATAAGTACCAAATTAATTGAAAAAATACGAAATTCTAATCATTTTCCTTGCTTTCTTTTTTATTCGAAAGCTTTTTTACTGTTATTGAAACGACATAAGTAACTAATATACTTCTTAAGAATTTTATGAAATCTGTTATGCATCTTAGTGATGCCAAGTTTGGCCACCCTTGCTTACAAACTTATTCCTAATTCCCCTTTTTTTCTCTTTTTGTTTTTTAAATGAAATTTTCCAGATAGTCTATATGTTGATTTAATTGAAAATGCTTTTCCCTCCGCAGGTCTTGGTGTTCGAAGATGCGCCTAATGGAGTGCAAGCTGCCAAAGCTGCAGGTATGCAGGTAATCATGATCCCAGATCCGCGCATGGACCCTGAATTCTGCAACGAAGCTACACTAGTTTTGCCCTCCATGGAATGTTTTAGGCCGGAATTATTCGGCCTACCGCCATTTGTTGAATAGTCCGTCCATGTAGTCCGTCCATAATTATGTTTAATAAATAGATTCCTTTCATACATTTGATTCATATCATTTCAAAAACTAAGCTTTCAAACCAAGTTTTCAGCACTTCCAAACATATTATTATTATATAAAGTCATATTCTAAAGGTTGTGGCAAAGCATGCGATTGCATTGTGATGTCAGTGTATGTTGAACATGGGCCTTATATAAGACGTTCTTATAAGGTCATGATGTGAAAAGTTTTCGTTAATGTCAGCATTTTAAATAAATAGCTGCTGTTGGCAACTTTTTTGTTTCATGTTAGGATGATAGACACAATATGTTACTTGACACGTAACTTCTTTTATTGATATTGAAAAGAAGTTGTTATATTACATTAAATTTAAATCATGACGTCATACGTATACGTATTAACTTAAAAGGGTCAAAAGCTTTTGTTTCCTGGTTTGGAAATAAAAAATTATTTACGAATTGGTTGTTGCTTGGAAAAAATGAACTGATTTAATTCATACTGAAATGTTTTTATACATTTGCTTTTCAGGTGTAACATAGAACTTGTAAGTTTTGTTTTGGCCGCATTCCACTCATCTGGCAGGCTTGCGCATTAGTATGTATTTTTTATTTGCGCTACATTTTTTATACACACATATATAATCAAGAGATAATAATTAAAGCAAGAAAGCTGTTAACAGTATAACAGAAAGTACACATTCAAAATTAAAACAAAAACAATTCAATAAAGTACTATTAATATAATACAGGGTGTTTCATATTGAATGAGAAAAAGAATAGTATACTACAAAACTTGTAATTGATTTATTAAGCCAAAACAAATGAATTCTGAAACTACAGTTATACAAGTTTTTTCTGGCAAAAGCGAAAATTCTTCAGGTTACGAAATCGCTGCTAGAAGCACTGGTAATCAAAAGGGCGCCATCCATGCAAGGGAAAGCGTATTGTGTTTTGGAATATGCCAAAACATCATCGCTTATCGTTGTTTAAAGATATTTTGGCACAAATTTTGTAAAGAATCACTGAATTGTCACAACATCGAATGGTGAGTGAAGCAGTTTCAGGATACGGGCTGCTTGTGCAATGTAAATGAGCCCGTGACGTGCTTGTGCAATGTAAATCAACCAGCGTGGTTGAACTGGTTGAAAAACTCGTGAAACGTTTTTTTCGAAGTCCCGCAAAATCATCGCGTCGTGCGAATTCTGATCTCAGTGTGCCTCATGTAACGGTGTGACGTGTGTTTCGGAAATGTCTATAATTCTGGCCATGTACCTTTCAGATGGTACAGGCGTTAAAAAAACCTTCCGACAAACCGTGGCGTAAAGCTTCCTTTGAGAAATTGCAAGATAAGCTGGAGGTAGATGGTTTTGCGAGCAGACTTGTGTTTACGGTGTAGAGGCATTAAGTTTTTTCGGAGCAGAAAGGTGAAAAATCAGCAACGCCTTCGCCGTGAATCGAAGCACGGACCTCTGGAATACGCGCCCAGCGTGCACACCACGAAGGCTGGAGAAATATCATATATACTCGCCCCCCTTTTAAAGGGTGACTGTGGTTTTTAGGGGACTGAGTCGCCAAATCTTAGGTTGGGAGAATCATCATCCACCACCCTTTTTAGTTCGGGCACCACTGTAGAGACATTAAGATTTTTTTCGAAGCAAGAGAAGATGAAAATGAGCAACACTTTCGTCGGGAATCGAACCTCGGACCTCTAGAATACACGCCTGGCGTGCAGACCACCACACCAAGAAGGCGGGAGAAATACTTATAACGGAGAAAACCATTTTTCACATTTCTGGCACAGTCAGTCACTATAATGTACGATTCTGCGGCACGAAAAATTCACATGGTGTAATGGAGTATAAGCGTCATTATCCAAAAAGGGGAATGTTTTCTGCGCCATTAGCAACAGTCGTGCTTTTATTCCCTTTTTCTTCGTGAAAAAATCTTTTAATGCGTGCATTTACGAAGATATGCTATCAGAGTGGTTGTTTCCTGTGTTGGAAGAAGCGGTTCTCGGCGATTCTGCAGCAAGACTTGTTTCACTACAATCGCATGGAAACGCGCGCCAAATACTTCAACGATAGTTATCTTCATCGCTGGACTGGCCATGCTGGGTCAAATGATACGCCATTGCTTTGTTGGCTACCGAGATCTAACCCCTTGTGATTTTTTCCTATGGGATTTGTTGAAGATGAAGTGTTCGTCTGTAACAAATCCAGTTAAAAAATGGACACGAAGTGTTCGTGTCTCCATTTCCGTAACACTTACAGCCACTGATGCAGTGGATAACTAAAGTGCTCGAGTCATTAACAAAGGATATTCTATCACGAGTGTGAGAGGAACTGGAATACCACATAGATATTTGCCGTGTCACCGGAGAAAAGCACTGAAATAGAAACTTGGATGACTGCAGCTTTATTGTAAATTTGATTTACCAAAATTAAGTAATTACAGCTTTCACAGGTATGCTTTCTTTTTGTCCCATTCAATATAAAACACCCTGTATAACATTATAAAGTTGTCGAAAATTCCTTGGTCTTTTTCAAGGAGCAGCCAAAGGATTTTCAACTGAGCCACGTTTCTGAATTATTATGAATTCGTGAAATAATTCAAAGTAAAAAATTAAAGAAAGTTCCAAATAATTTTATTAAATTATTAATTAAAGTCCTTTAAATATGCAACAAAGTTTTAAAAAAAAAACTGTTTTCATTTCAATTAATTATTAAGATCCTACGTGACTCTAAAATAAAAATTACTGTAAAAATAAATATAATAAGGAGAACTCTCGAGTAACAAACCTGAATAAACATTGGATAAATTAAAAGCAATATGCTAGATAAATATTAAATATATTTCGAACGAAAGAAAAAGCAGAATTGCTAAAAAAACATTGTAAATCCGAAGTAAAATATTTCAAGTCAAAAATATTTAATAAAACGAATTTATTTAGAAGAAGTTTACTAAAAGTAAAATAAGTAAAAAATTTTAATAATACTTAATGTAAAAAAGTTTCCGAGAAATTCCTTCTTCATCAAGTGTAATTCTCATTGAAACAATGCTGGAAAATTCGGTCGTAATAAGGATGATGGAGGGTCTTTGCTTTTTGCACATTGTAGGCAAACCACTTTCCAATGCTTATTCAAACTTGCTGATTTTAATGCAGTGAACGCTAATTAACTAATAATTTCTTCCACACATTAATGAGTGTTAATTTTTTAACATTCAGTAGGTCTAAAAGTGTTGGAAAGTTAGTTTTAAATGTCGCGTTTATACCTTGGTTTAGCGATTGTGAAAATTATGTAGAATGTAGTTGCAGAAATCAAATTTGTACTTGTGAGTATCTCAAACTAGGAAATAGCCAAGCACATTGTTAACAATCAGAACTTTAAAGTCGACACCTTTCACATTCATCTAAGATCTGACTTCTAAGATGTGTGTAGTCATTAGGTTATTTTGAAATAGGAGACATGAAAAATGTGCACTGCTCTCGCCGCTATTCGAACACTGAACCTCTCGAATACGCGTCGAGTGTGCTTCCAATTACACCACGAAGGAATGCGGAAAGGAAGAAAATACTTCATATACTTCCCATTTTAAAGGGCCACTCAGGATGAGGAAACCCAGTCGCCAGAACCCGGTGGTGATGAATTCACCACTTTTTATTTTGGGCGCCACTTGTAGAGTCATTAGGTTATTGTGAAGCAGGAGACGTGAAAAATATGCAGTGGACTCGAACCCTGGACCTCTCAAATGCGTGTCGAGTGTGCTTACATCGAGTGTGTGTGTACACTACAAACGCATACGGAAAGTAATGAACAAATACCTTATTGATATAACACACCAAAATGACCCGCGTAAAAGGAGAATGAAATGTTTATTTTGAATGCGTGTTAAATCAAATTCTTGTAAAAGCAGAATTAAGTGCATATTGATGGTATCTGCCAATTTGCATTTGCGTATTATTCGTCATGCTGCCGCGTTAAATTAATGGTTGAAGTGGATGAATACTTGTAAGATCTTTCAAAATAGTAAACAGTTTCAGACAGCGACAATATATACTTTGAGAGGTTATAATAGTTGTTTTCCATATTACTTATGAGACCACCTACATTTCAATAGCTTTAGTTTTTAGAAACAGTTTCTAGCTGTAAAGGAACTGCAGTGCCTCTACCAATAATAAGAAGTGACATGCGACCTATTTTTACACTATTCGCCTGTTCTCACTTGTAAAAATGGCAACAGAAAAATCAATTTTGTATATACTTTGAGAGATTATAATAGTTGTTTTCCATATTACTTATGAGAGCGCCCACATTTAAATAGCTGTAGTTTTTGGAAACAATTTCTAGCTGTAAAGGAACTGCAGTGCCTCTACGAATAATGAGTGACATGCGACCTATTTTTACACTATTCGCACGTTCTCACTTGTAAAAATGGCAACAGAAAAATCAATTTTGTCTGTCATCGATTTTCCGCTCGTGTAGAGCTATTTTAATGAATTAAAGAAAAAGGCTACAGCCAGTATGCTCAGCATGTTTTCACCTCTACCGCACGCAGAAAGAAAATTTACTTTCTAAATGTGGCAACGAATTAAGAGTTTTCTATCAGAATATACACCATTTATACAAGAGGGAAAATAGCAAATGGTTTTATTAATTATTTTTCCTTATGCTAGAAATCAGTGTTTGACATTCGGAAATTCTTTTGGAATTTTAACACTATTTTACTTGCCTCTATATGTATACTTAAAGCATCTAAATTTATTATTAAATTGGAATATTCCAATTTAATAATAAAGTATTATAATAATTAGTAAACTTAATTAATAAATAATTAAGTTTATGTATATATTTATTTGTTTGTTTCTCTTTTACACAAATCTGTAGTTTAATCCCGATCTTAAAACTTACCACACTCGACCTTTAAAACAAAAGGAAGGTCACTGGGTACATAAGATTTTTCAAAAACCAGCCCATGATGCGGCACTATTTATATACGTATATTTTACGTTAATTTAACGAACTTTTGATTAAAAACCCAGCTCTTTAAAAGCTTTGCGTTGCCACTCTGCGTAAGATATATGTTTCAAATTTAATCGGAAAACTCAGCGATATTAAAAAAAAAAAAAAAAAAAAAAAAAAAAAAAAAAAATTGTTACTACTCGGGAAGACGGAATTATATTTTTCTCGAATTTAATTACTAAACCGGTTATTTAAGAGAAATGTGCTGCTACTGCCCAAATTAAAATATTTTAAAGTATGTTTTCGTTCAGCAAAGCGTAAAATACTTAATTTCTCTGCATCACACGCATTTTCTTTGCTTTTTGAAAATGAATTTGTAATAGCCGTCGCAAAGCATTACTTTTCGCTGTGAAATCAATTATGCCACCAAAATGAATATCGATTGCTCGATCTACACCTCAGGCACGAAAGAAAAAGGCATCTCGAACTTCAGAAACAAACAAGCAACGGGAAGATAGGCTGAAAGATCGAGTACGGACTGCTCAAACCAATTCGTCTGAAGCAGACGAGCAACGGGAAGCAAAATTGGAAAACATTCGAGTTCGCACTGCGTCGATTTAGATCTAAACGAACACACTGATTTAAACTTTATTGCATTCCATTACAATGCTAATTATGATTACAGTCTTCATACAAGTGTAGTTGTTGGAAAGATGGATAAATTATGCATGTATTGCAGATCCGTCAAGTTTAAGAATGAAGCCCCAGGAATATGCTGCGTGAATGGAAAAGTGAAATTGCCAGAATTAAATTCACCATTCCGAACCATTATCCATCTTGGTATCATGTGAGACAATCGAAGCATGCAAAATACGCATAAAGAAAAACTTTCATAACAGAATTAAAACACAAACCATTTATAATTGAATAATGAATTTTATATTGAATAATGATTTTTTATAGAGCTCGAGATTATTGCCGAATTGAGTAGGAGTAAATAAATTTCTCTGCTAGTTGTAGTAAATTTTTTTTTATCATTTACTTGAGTAAAGTGTCGCCCGACATCCTCGCTTTCATACATGTTAATTCAAAGCTATTTTTATAAACATAATAAACAGAATTTAATCTTTGGCAATAATTTCGAGCTTCCTAAAACAATCATTAACTTAACGCAGCTGCTACATGCAAAATAAATTCTTTTTAGTACTTCAATTTAATTCATTTTACTTTAATCTCACTAATTGGATTAAAACTCGACTTACAAATCTGGCTTTAACTCAAATTGCCAGTTTGGCATCATCATTTTACTTGAGAAAAGACGAAACACCTTCGCATTTATTAACTATTTTTAATAATTAATTTTTGAACGGGGATAGTTTGTTCCCCTTGAAAAGTCAACCAATTTCCGATTCAATGAAGATAATTACTTAATTTATTATATTTCATTTTAAAAGTTTCCATTTCTATTTTTCATGATTTAAATTCAAGTTCCTTTAAAAATATTATTATCGGGATTAAATTTCAATGCTTCTGGGTTACTTCATTCAGATACATTCTACTATATGTTAGGGGATAATATAATCAATATTACTTTAGTAAATAAATTATATATATATGTGTGTGTGCGTGTGTGTGTGTGTAATGATAGCAAGAAAAAGATGAAGCAGCGTCGATGGGTAATAACTACATAGGATAGATCGTAGATCCATGTTGAAGAGAAAGAATTCTGATTGCGTAATATGCTAAATATGTTGACTTCGTAATCTCTAAAAAACTTGGCAGTCGAGGCAGTTATTCCATTTTTATTTTCCACTTGACATTTATGGCCGCAGTTCGCTTGGCATTCTAGTTGTGCCTATTCAAGAAGATTTACATTTTTTGATATTATTGCGATAGGAAGCGAACCCAGCGAAATTGCTTATAAGCACTGCACAGACAGAAGCTAAAGTGCGTAGTTATCCAATATGGAAGCACACGAAAAGTTTTGGTTTGAGTTAAAAGTTTCAGTTCCCAATTATTACGTCATCAGCGCTTCGCTGGCCATGCAAAACGGAATGATCTAGAAATGACCCAGTCATGAGACGTTATTACGATTTTTAGAACAGAGAGGGAAAATTAAAGGAAATTTAACTTAAACTATAATTTTGATTTACATATGTTTATCTTACAGATATATATATATATATATTTATCTTACATATATATATATATATAATCAAAGATTTAAGTAAACTAGTTAATCAATCGTAATAAATTGCCTACTGCTTGCGCTAAAGCTGCAAAGTAATAAAATAATAATTTATTTTCTAGTAGATTATTTAGTATAATATCGCCTTCGACAACTGTTGTTAGAATTCTATTGAAACGAAGTATCTCATTAGCAAATTTAAAATGGAATCTTGAACATATTTAAAATGGAAACATTAAAAAGGTGTAATTAAAAATGAAAAGGCAACAAACAAACTAAGTATGCCAATAATAAGTTTATATATATATGTAAGATATAACAAAATACGATGGCTGCTTCGACCTCAAAATTAAATATTCTAAATTTCGTGTTCTCCCAAATTCTAGATCTTTCCGTGTTACATAACGCTGCTTGAAAAATGGAACTAAAAATTAACCAATCACAGATTAGCTGTACTTATGCGCCTATCTAGTATAAATAGCTACTAACTGCGTAGTGTCTCTCGCTTTCGTCTGCCTGCTGACAGTGTGTCGCATGATGTTTAACTGTCAAGCTGATCATGCTTCTTAAAAAATTCCATCCTGTCATTCCACTGCGTCGCAATTTCCAATCATCTACGCATCTACACATATATATATATATTTGTTTGGTTCGGCCGATTGTAACCGAAAGGTTATTATAACATGCTATTGGAGTCTCATGTGCAAAATTTCAACGTTTTGAGGCTACTCGTTTTTCCTATGCCAGATATATACATACGTAAGTACAGATGTCAAGAAAAATTCTCTACTGAATCCATTTTAAATCCATTTTGCAAACCATTTTGGGAAAAAAAAAAAAAAGAGCCCTTTTTTCTGTCCGTACGTACAAATGTCTCACAAAAACATCGCTTAGTATGTGCACTAAGAGGTGAAAACTAAGTGAAGGAAACTGGAGAATAATACAAACAGCATGTGCACTAAGATGTGAGAACGGAAGAGGGGTAGGGACTGGAGGAAACTGAAGTATAATACAGACAACAGGTGCACTAAGAAGGTGAGAAAGAAAGAAAAGTAGGGACTGGAGGAAACTGAGGAATGATGCAAACAGCATGTGCACTAAAAGGTGAGAAAGAAAGAGGAATAGGAACTGGAGGAAACAAGTATAATACAAACAACATGCGCACTAAGAGGTGAGAAAGAAAGAAGAGCAGGGATTGGAGGAAACTGAGGAATAATACAAACAGCATGTGCACTAAGAGGTGAGAAAGAAAGAGGGGTAAGGACTGGAGGAAAGTGAGGAATAATACAAACAGCATGTGTACTAAGAAGGTGAGAAAGAAAGAGGGGTAAGGACTGGAGGAAACTGAAGAATAAAATGTGCAAGTCTAATCAAGAGAGAGAGCTTTGAATAATTGTTTAATTTATGAGCTTAGGTAATGAACCAAACCAAATGAATTTTCAATAACCAACTTAACTAAATGAGCCAAATGAACTAATGCTCCAGATTAAACTGCTTGAAAATCAAATGAACTTATGCTCCAAATTAAATAGCTTGATACTTGGATGGTTATTCTGGCATGTAGCGGGAGATGCACTATTTCTACTCCTTCCAGATTCCTAAATGAGTCCCCTGGCGTATGTAAAAGTCTAAAGATGAAGCTGTAAAAGAAAAAGAAAAATCGTTTGAAAGATCCAGGTAAATTATTAAAAGGGATTTTCTGTTATTTATAGTGGGAGATATACTAAATCTTTTCTATGCTTTTGCTTAACTGCCGTCAGGTTACATGTGATCTTGAGTTAGCTATGGACGTCGTATTCCTAACTGAGAATTTACTGTATTCTCATAATTTTAAGAAATTGTCATGGGTACTAAGATTATATTTATGGAGTCTGACTTGCTTTGGTGGCATAAAATAGTTTCAAACTCCTAATAGTTTAATAGATTTAGAGCGAATTATTGCTCTGCCTGATGTAACAACAGAGTCCTTGAAAAGGTTTAAAAAACCTTTTTATTAAAACAGGACTTGAACGTAAACTTACTTCTAGTTCTTGACAATATCAGCCACCACTTTTGACGATGTAACTTTTTAGTCAGATTCAAATTTAATACTAAGCCTAGCAGTCAAAGGCTACACAACTGATTTTAAATTCTAAGTTTGCTCAGAGCTTCTCACCCGCGTAACAGCTTAATGTCGGCAGCAATAACGCAAAGCCGAAGAATAATAATCTTATCACAGAGCTGGCGAAACTTCGTAACGTGGCTTTGAGAGGCAGAAACACGCTCTCTTTTACAATCCGAAACGTTCAATTTAAATACTATCATTTACGAAATGGAGATGCGATAGTAAAGGCTGAAATTGTAAATAAATGACTAATTAAAACAATACTAGCCTTACTGGTTTTTAAAGAAAACACCGAAGGTTATTATATTAAGAAATTCTGGGGGTTATCAAAAGCAAAAATTCTATAAGAAGTAGTACCAATAAGTTGAGAAAAATGGGAATGCTACTCTATCATGCCTATTTTAGTTTCAAAACTACTTACCTGCATATCAATTTTGCCTTTGTAAGCTATCAATCATATTCCACTCATGCATTATCTTTAGAGGTGTTCAAAAATATAAACCGTGACTGTCACTGATAACAGCCGTGACGACGCATATCTTATCTCTCGGAAAACAAACCACAGGTTAAGCAACAGCAAGGTATTCCGTCGCGCTTTCAGCGCACACCCAAACATGATGAAAGCTATTTTTGTATTAACCCTTACCTTGTATTTCATTTCAATACGTTCATTAGCTGCTTCAAGTATACAAATCGATAACAATGGATATTCAAATATTCTCATCGCCTTGCCCCCAAATTTGGAAAAGACAGAGGACAGAAGTCGGATGATAAATAATTTAAAGGTGAGAGAATTCCCATTACAGTCCTATACACATCTAGATATGATACAGTTTTTTGACTGTAAAAATTTTAGAAATGTTTTTGCATTCAATTTGCGTAATGATTATATTCAACCTTGCCAGGCTGTATATTATAAATGTTCAAATTTTTTATTCAATATTTTAAATCTAAAATTTGAATGTCTCATATAAAAGTGTTTGACCTTTTTCGCATTCTTATACTTCCCAATATCTGTGAGAATTTGACATTTCTCACATTAGGTTTATTCGTGCATTTCTGAGTCATTAGGTTTATCCGTGCAGGAGATGTGAAAATTTTACAGCGTCCTTTCCGGGATTCGAACTCAGGATCTCCCGATTACGCGTCAGATGTGTTTCCAGATACATCACAAAGACACGTAGAACGTAGGGCGAAAATACTTTATACGTTTCTTGCAGACAATTATTAGCTAGCAGAATTTTAAACACCCGAATTGTAAGTCCTCGGAAAGAACTTACAACTTGACTGGTACTATAGGAGTTAGTTAATTAAATTGTTACCTACTCGCTTGAAAGTTAGCGATGGTAATTTAAAAATTAAGCGCAGAGAGCGTGCGCCTTTTAGGCGAGATGAATAGCTATTTGGAGATGAACTTATGAAACCCACGGTGCCTTGCATGGTCAGAAGGAACAGGAATTTTGCTTTTAGGAATTTTTGCTTTTTGGAAATATTAGCAAAGAAGATAAAACAAATTGATCTAATGAAATATGAAAAATATAGGGTTGCAAAACAGGAAAATTACAAATTATTCACTTTTGAATATTACTGAGTACAACAATTTCAAAAATAATAAACAATAAACAAGAGGATAAAACAAAATTGACCTAATGAAATAACCGAAAATAAAGAAAGACTTTGTCTATGTTGATTGTTTTGCATTGTAATTAATTAATTATAAAGCTCTTCAATCCTTTGTTTAGATAAAATATAGAGGAACCTATTCAACTAAGTAGCGAATAATCGCTGGTTTCAAGTAAAAGGGTATTTTAGCCCTTCTCAAGACTTGAGAAGGGTTAAAATACCCTTTTATTCACTCAAATAATAACAGATGGCCCCTCCTCGGGCTTACAGGAAAACCTCCATTTGGACTTTTAAATCAGGCTAAAAAAATAAGAAACTAATTCTAATACTAAACTAAATGGACTTAGCCGAAGCTAGACACGAAATACGTAACGCCGTTGGTCCTTAAATTAAACTAGCCGGTTATTAGCTATTATCAACAGACACGTACAATACGACCGAGCGTAATAGATTCAAGAACGAAGTACCCAGAAGTACCACTACGGACTCCTAAGTACTCTCCCTCGAAATAAGTTGAACTTGCCTTCAATACTTCTTCAAACTCATTTGCATTCAACGCTGTTCTACAAACTTATTCTGGTAGGGAGCTGTAAGTGGAAAACAAAAATTTAAAGGAAAGGGTTTTAAAATTAAAAATAACTGTTATAAAATTAAAATACTAAAATAAATGCCTACTCGTCAGATGGTGAATGAGTCGAGAACGTTCAACTGAATTATCCAGAATAGCGCCATGTTCCACTAGGCTAGCTAGGTGCCTATACTGATAACTTTTTTAACTTTGTAAATAAATTGTGCGTTGTAATCAATATGAAATCGTAGATGTTTACAATTTTCACCTGTATATAACTTTGTGTGTTCCTAACAAACCATTGATTTTCATACGTAGAGCCTTGTTTTCGAACGTGTCTGTTTTCGTCCCACCAGTGACCGAGTGGTTGAGACTTCTAAATACTGGTATTTCGACCTGGCTTCGGTTCGATCCCAGGAAAATCAGCTGGCTGCGTAGTTGGTTTTCATGGTTTTCCCCATGTGTAACGTGAATACGAGCCACCCTTAGGAAGTCCTCCACGAAAACATCCCTCCTCTTACGCAGAGAGACTTCGTGGCTTTGTGATATTCAAATATCCTCACCTAACCTAGCCTAACATTCATTTGGGCAGCAACAAATAACATGCATTTTTTTCTTTCATAGTAATTTTGGTGCTGTGGCCCAGATTGGTACAAAGTGAATGAGAACGGGCCTAACGAGATGTCGTTTAGTTCTGAAATTCAGTTTCTGAGCCGTCCTATTAAGTTATAGTTTTGTGAAGAACATATACAAAACCGTACTTTTTGTACTCTCAAGGTGATCTAATTAATATGTAAAACTTTGTTCTGGAGAATTAAAATCCATGGATACATGGCCATGATGCGCAAAGATCAGGAAGAATCTAAAAGCAATAAATATCATTTGTACCCCTTAGATTAAAAAACTGCCACTGCTCAAAATATGAAATCATTAATTTGTGTCACAGAAAATTTATGCTTAAGAGTGCGAACACTCGACAATTTCTAAAATTTTAAATGTATTTATGACTTGCCAGAAGTCGAGTGCTTGCGACTACTGGTTGCTGATAATCCGATCCGAGTTTGAACTCAAACGAACGAGCTGGTTGCATAGGTCTTTCTTCCACAATAATACTTTTTAAATGCTGATGCTTATAACGTTTTTTGGATCCATCTACCTAGTATCGTGAGTTTACTAACGAATTTACAAAATCCATGATACATCCTGAAAAACATAACGCACTGAAATCCGGCACAATCCCAAACCTCTCGTCGCTTTATTCTAATGCTATTTATTGGTGCAAAAGCGAATAATAAACACTTATAAACTCACGTTCTTTTCTTTAAAACATAAAAGGAAACATTTGTGTCTTCAAACAAAACAGGAAACGCTTTTACGAAAATGCTCCAAAAAGTATAATTTGCCATTTGATGGTTCATCCCTCTCCCTATATAAATTTGCCGGCAGAAAAATGGAAAATAAAATTTTTCGATCAATAGTGCCATTTAGTTTATGCTTTATTGGTAACTTCTTTTAAAAGAACGTAAACTTCGTGTGTCTTGATGCAAAAACTTTTGAAAATTCTGTCGTTGTACTATGTCACATGAATCTTGGCTACTTTGCCACAGCTTTTTATAAGCATTCGAAACAGAAACGTGCAACATATTCGAAAATGTTATGGATAGGTTATTAGGTTATTTAAATATGGCAAAAACACACGACCGCTATTTACGTAAGAGGAAGAATGCTTTCGCGAAGAATTTCCTAAGGAAAACGTATTCACGCTACACATTGTGAAACCAAACATGCAGCCAACCCGTTCACTCGTACTCGAACCCAGTTCGGTACCCACCAGCGGCCAAGCTGTAAATTCAGTGAATATGAGTAGTTCCTTCGAGGTTTTAATCCCGGCGAACTGGCTGACTGCATGGGCGTTTTCGAGATTCCCCGGCGTGTAACGTGTATACGAGCCAGTCTCCCTTTGAAAGTCCTCGGCGAATGCATCCCTCCTTTAGGCAGATAGCTCCCGAGTGCTTTGCCATAATCAAATAAACCAATCGAAACCATGTCGAATTACCAGGTTGAATTCAGGGGTCTTAACCACTCGGTCATTTGTGAGGTATAATAATAATAATTGTCTACCGTGTTCCGCTCACACGGACCAGCTCCAACTGAGATGCGATCAAATAAGGCACAGGCTGAGACACCAGTCAAAATTCAGTTAATGTCCGCCAGTCATGCTACAGCACCGAGGCCCCCAATTCGACCAAAAGTCTTAAAAGTTTGTCTATTACCACTGCTACCCCCCCGGGCGCGAGGGTCATCACTCCCGATTCCCGGGAGTCACACTGGCGGGGAACATGCACGCCTGAAAATCTGATTGGTTGTGAAAAATGCTCCCTAAACGGGCTACCTTGTTCTACGGAACAGGCCTTACGCCAGCCCACCCACACTAAACTAATGAAGTTTCGTCTCAAGGTATCTCCCAGCTGGACAAGTGAAAATGCCAGGCTCATGTTTTAATAACCCTGTCGCCGAGATTGCTGGGTACAGATCCTAACCAGTAGCTTCTCATGTTTTCCTGCCTCGACAACAGGGGAAGATTGGTGAAGTATGTATGTTGTTTTCCTAATTTTACATATGTTAGGTCAATTCTATCAGGAAATTTTCTTCTTCCGAATACAAATATCTGTTCTTCTATAGGGAAATTTCAAAATGATTGTTTTGTTCGGTTATTTAGAATTTACTTCAGCAATCGTCTGAAAAACTGATGAATGCTACGAAAGGAAGAGCTTATTTCCGCAATGTTACATTCATAACACCAAGCAATTGGAATGAAACTGACTACTCGATGTCTGGTAGTCGAAACTCCGAAACTGAATTGAGCAGTGATATGGCTGACATCGTAGTGACTGACTCCCCCGAAGATACTTCTTCGTATGTCCTACATCACAGAGGATGTGGCTATCATGCTCTCAAGATTTACCTTTCGACCGGTTTTCTTCTATCAAGCCATGTACTGCAAAATAGTAAGTATAGTTTAGTATATACACCATATTCCTTTTTTGTACTTTCCACAAGTTACCGGCGAAAACGTTTAAAAATTATAAAAAGTGCAATGAAAAAATTATTGAAAGCCGATTCCAAGCATCGGAAACCTGATTAAAAATATATAAGCTTATGGAATTATTAGATTTTATTGAAGCAGGAGATGCGAAAAACGTTCAGTGCCCTCGCAGGGACTCGAACCCTGGACTTCTGAAATACGCGTTGAGTATACTTCCAATTACACCATGAAGGCATACGAAAAGAAGAGAGAAAATATATCTTTATATACTCTCCCCTTCTAAAGGCGACTGGAGATTAGGGGACGCAACTGCGAAATCCTGGTGGTGACGAATTATCGTTCACCACCTTTTTAGTTCGGGTGCCACTTTTAGAATCATTATTATTTTTTTTTTTTTAAAGCAGCAGACGGGAAAAATCTGAAGTGCTTTCCCCGGTACTCGAACCTGGACCTCTCGAATACGCGTTGAATATGTTTCCAGTTACATCACAAAGGGATGCGGAAAGAAAGGCGAAAATACCTTATAAGCTACTTTGAAAGAAATCATATCAAAATCCTTAATTAAGTCTTAATTTGTTTTTTAAGTATTTATGCATATTTTTTACTTTATAAATTTATGAAAACAATAGTTATATTTGTACACAAGGAGAAATTATATATCCATAAAAATAAGTAAAAATTCTATTGATGAATCATAAGAAATAGCATATCATAAGATAGCATTGTTACTATTTTTACAACGAAACTCTGTTATTTATTTGTAAAAATTTTAATAGTACATTTTAACAGTAGAACCAATTAAGAGATTTAAAAAAGCAATATGCGTGGAAATATTAAAATAATAATACACCAGTATGATAGTCAATGTACTTAATATATTTAATTAATATTCAGGCCAATTTATGAAAGATTTATTTCTAACGTCGTATATTTCGGTGTTGGTTACAGAATATTTTTTATCAACTACCTAGTGTAGTATTTGTTACAATTTAAGTACCATTGCTTTTATTAATTGTTCATTCGAATTCTTTAGACACACCAGCAGCAGAGCGGTAAAATCGTTGATGCTTGGATTGGGTTACAGGCGGAATGGGCTGGATGGCCGTTTTCGTGGTTTTTCCCACGTGTATACCACCAGTTTTTGTAAAAAGTTCTCCTCGAAGGCATCCCTTCCCTTAGACTGATAGCTCTAGTGTACTTTGCCATAATCTGCTAAACCAAATTAAACATTCGAATTCTTATTTAAGCAAAGAATTTTGTTTTAAACATAGCTTCTTCGAAGATAAATGGTGAAATTTCCTGGAGTCTCTGTAAAGTATTTGAAATGGATTGAAAGTGCTTTTATTTAATCAAAAAGATTCCTCAAAAAGATTACCAATTTGTGCACCGTTAACACCATGATATGAAATGTTCAATGGAAGATGCTACAAGAGTACTGAATTTTCGACAAGAACGTTCGGAATAATGCTTCTTTTCTTGAGATGCTAACCCTCTCCTCAAAATTCAGAAAAATACTCTCGCCAGTCTGTCTGAGAGAGAGGAAAACGTTTAAGAACAGCGCATACGTGTTATTGTAAGCGACGCTGTGAGAGCTATTTCTGTTTTATTTGTTTAATTTCTGCTTTAAGTCGTTTTAGTTTTCGTTGTTATTTTTGCATCGAATATGTGGTAATGATGTGAAAATTCATCAGATAAATCTTATTGTGCATTCTTTTCTGTAATGTAATTGAGATGTTACGTTTTTGAGAGAAGCGCCTGAGTGTCGCCATAGTAAATAAATATATTAAATTTCAAAGAATGATTGCATTTATTCTATAATGTATAAACACGTCTGTATATCTACCGATGGAGTCAATTCACTTCTTAGACCATTCTGTCACTGATAAGTCGCAAAATACGGCAATGTACTGATAATCTTAACTCGTAGACATATAGGAAAAATTAAGAATACTTTTATTAAATTCGTTCAATCTTAGAAATTTTTAAGGCGCGCAAAACGAATGTCCCCGCTCTAGAAGTTGGATTGCCATTTGCATACGTATTCTGTTACTGGCAGTATTCCATGTTATTAAAAATGGTATCTACAATTCAGCGTTTTCCGTTTCCTTTTGCTCTGTTTGTGGGAACAAAAAGTCTGCAACGTGTTCACGTGTACTTTAAAATTGATATTAATTTCAACAAAGGAAAAGAGATCAAGAGTCTTGTTACTCATTAAGCTGCGTCAAACATTCAGTGCAGAACAATCTCGAATGCATGAATGAAGCGAATTTTCAGAGCTTCATACTTGACTCTATTAGCGATTACTTATTAAGCTGCGTCAAACATTCACCTCAAGACAATCTCGAATGCGTTCCTGAATCACACGGATTTTCAGAGCTTCATACTTGACTGTATTGGCGATTACTAATTAAGCTGCGCCAAACATTCACCTCAGGACAATCTCGAATGCGTTCCTGAATCACACGGATCTTCAGAGCTTCTGACTTGACTACATTAGCAATTACTAATTAAGCTGCGTCAAACATTCACCTCAGAGCAATCTCGAATGCGTTCCTGAATCACACGGATCTTCAGAGCTTCAGACTTGACTCTATTGGCGATTACTAATTAAGCTGCGTCAAACATTCGCCTCAGGACAATCTCGAATGCGTTCCTGAATCACACGGATTTTCAGAGCTTCATACTTGACTGTATTGGCGATTACTAATTAAACTGCGTCAAACATTACCTCAGGACAATCTCGAATGCGTTGCTGAATCACACGGATTTTCAGAGCTTCATACTTGACTGTATTGGCGATTACTAATTAAACTGCGTCAAACATTCGCCTCAGGACAATCTCGAATGCGTTGCTGAACCACACGGATTTTCAAAGCTTCATACTTGACTATGTTGACGATTTGCACAACTTTGCACGTATAACGTGTCCTCATCCGAGAAGAAACCATTATACATTGGTTATTATTTATACATTGGTTAAGTCTCTATGGCATGTTTATAGTGTAAGCAATTCAACGCTTCTTGTTCAGCGGTTCGATTGACTGCAATGGTTGAATTTTATAGGCATATAACTTAATCTCTTGAACATGTACACCTTGCACAAAAAAGGAGGTAGTTCTATATCTCCCATTCTAATGGGCCGATTGACAAAATTTAACTCTAGTTTTTCTTGTCTCAAAAGCGCGACTTACATATGTACTAGATTTAAACCTACCATTCTTCTAACATAGGTATTTTGATGCAAAATTTGACTTCTTCTGAAATGATATACCAATTTTTATTTCATATTCCGATTCTACGATTCAAATTATACTTAAATGTTAAATTTTGTAAAATTTGGTTGGAAGCTTACACAGTAATTTTAAAATTTGCCATAACCCAATTTTTTTCAGTTTGCACCAACCGATTTTGGCCGATTCACTTAGCAAAATTTTTAATTTATGTTAACCAATTTTCCTTTCCCTTTCATTGTGCACAAGAGGAATAAAAGGAGCATCATTCATTTTTTCAAATAATTTTAACTAAGGGCGTAAAGGACATTTAGCGTTATTATCGCTTATAACAAGGATGCTAAATTTGAAAATGCGCCAGAACAGAAAACTCTAATTTTTTTGCAGGTATGCCTAGAAATACATCTGTTGTAAGACGATAGCAAAACTTTTATAGATTATAATTAAAAAAGTTTTAAAAATGAATCATAAAACCCCTGTGAATTTTGTTTGGATTGAACCTAAATTTCGAATTGTGAAAGAAGGAATCAAGTAAGCTTAATAAAACAAAAGATATTAAAAAATACGTACTAAATTTAACATTGAGGAGGTAAAATTTTGAAAACTGATTTTTTAAAGCTTCTCCTGCAATGTTTTCAAAACTTTGCAATTTGGTGTAATTTAAGTCGTAGAATCAGATTATGGAATAAAAAAAATCGGTACGTCATTTCAGAGAAAGTCTGACTTGGTGTCTAATTACCTATGTTAGAGCAATGTTTTATATAAATCTAATATATATCCTAAGTCGCGATTTCGAACCATGTAATTTCGTCAATCGGGCGCAGTAGAATGGAAGATATAGAACTGTCACCCCTTTTTTTGTACGAGGTGTACATAATTTTTTGACTTAATTTTTAGATTTTGTTTTAACGTCTTATTCGACAGGACGAAATGTTATTTATAGTGCGTCGAAACTACCTTTTGGTAAAGAACGCAGATTAAAATTTCTTTCTAAACTTTGCAAGAAATCATGATATATCAATCAAATTTACTTTTTAAATACTATAAAAAAGCTCACACAAATCTGCAATACATTTTAATAATCATTCTTAGAATATGAAAATATGTGTTGCTTTAAAAAAAGGTTGGGAAAAAATTTGACACAGACAAATGAATGGATTTCTTTATTTAAATTACAGTAAAAATGATTTGAAGGAAAGAAATACAGATATGATATGTAAATGCACCAATGCATCGATCACTCCTATACCGAGCGTCGAGAGCAACCAAAGAAAATACCTCTCATTAAAAGTATAGTGAATCCATATTCTGGACATAATTATAGCTATCACCCGTTATTGATGTCAATATAGCGAATTAAAGGCTATAATAACGAGCTACCACTCGTTATTATAGCCCTTAATTCGTTGGAGGCGATGGTGCTATAAAGGTTTGTAATTACAAAAGCAGAATTTTAATTTTTAGGTTCCGAATTTGTTCGTTTGTGGGCTGAGTACAGGTATGGCCTTTTTCCAGAGGGTGGATTTCAGGAGGACGAAAGGTATCCTCTGACATACCAACTTCCTTGGAAATCTACAAGCAGCGTCACAGGATGTTCAAGTGGAAAGCACTGGTGAGGGAAATTCTTAGTACAATATTCCATGTAAAAAGGAAAGCAATATGAAAACAAGACAACTACTCATAAATAAAATAGAAATTTTATTGATTGAATTGAAATAGAAGCTCCTTGTCATCAAACTTTATGGATTTTCGGAACCATAAGAACAGTGCGATATCGGAGAACCCCATTTGCCTTTTAGAAAAAAATGTTCTAAAACAATATTTAAAGTAGATCAATATGTTATAGCTACTTTATGTAAAGACAATTAAAGAAAAAAATGTATTTTTTATTAAAGAAAATTAACTTAAAAATTAGTGTAATTTATGCTCATTAATAGCATTAAATCCTGCTACAGGTTTCACCTACTCTTGCATTATATTTAGTGACAGGAGTGTGTTTGCTTTTCTTACGCAAACTGTCCAGGTCTAGCTCTATTGATGTTATCTGCAATCGCTTTTTATGTTTGCATTTAATTTGTTTCTATATTCTGTTTTTGTTGCCACATACATTAAAAAAAATTTTCACTTTGTTTCAAATGGCATTAAAATGTTTATAGTTGTGTGAGAAACTTCTGGGTATTCTGCATAAATCTGTAACCAGTACTTAATTGCTTGAATTTAGATTGCTTAAATTTAATTTAGATTGCTTAATTTTAATTTAGATTGCTTAATTTAGTAACCAAATTGCTTAAATTTAGATTTTTACCACGAATTTATAAGCATGTCGATAAGATGTTCCCTTTCCTTCATTAGCAAGCCTTCTGATTCATCGTAGTATCCGAAAGTATTTTTTATCCAGTCATACCTAGTTTTTTCTTCTGGGAAATATTCTTTTATAATTTTCTTCAATTGGAAAAGATGCATCATTGTGCTGCAGGTGCTCCAACGTATTCTAGGTATTTTTTATCTAATCATACCTAGTTTCTTTTTTCTCCTGAGAAATATTCCTTTATAATATCCTTTAATTGAAAAGGTGCTCCATTGTGTAATTTTTCAAACTCTTATTGAAATTAGTTTATTTTCCATTAAAAAACTGTTTAGTTTTGCAAAGCTTTAAGCATTATACGTCATTCTCTTTGACATACGATGACGATATGTTAATTAGACACAATAACACGCCGAATAAATACTAATTCAGAAGTCAAACAACAAAAATCAGCGTTATACCTACAAAAATTTTTCACAGGACTAGTTTCGATGGTTTTACCGAACCATCATCTTCAGCTGCAAAACCGCAAATGAACAAGATAGGAAATAATGATTAGATAAGATAAGAAAGCCTGGACAAGAATAAGCAAGTAGCGCCATCTGTTGGCGAAACCAGAACTAAAACATAATTTCTCTAAAAGCCGAAGGCAAATTTGGATTGGAATTAGGATCGTTAACTAGAACAGAAAGATTTTTTATGAATGTGAAATGCCTCTAGAAATCCAGTTCTCCAATGGAAGATGTTTTTTGAATAATTTTGGCAGCAGAAAAATTGAAAGTGTGATTTTCGGACCAACAATGTTGAGCAACAGAAGACTTCTGTGTTTCCTTTTTTCTAACATATGCCTCATGTTCTTTGACGCGAAATTTTAAGGCTCTCTTAGTTTGGCCAATGTAAATTAAACCACACTGGCAAGGAAATCCTATAAATACCCCAGGAATTCATATCCGGAATGGGGGTCCTTGAGTATAGAAGTTGGAATTTTATTTGATGGGAGAATAAACAACCCGAAAGTTAAATTTCTGCAAAATATGTGCAACTTTATAGCTAATTGATGGAAAGAAGGGAATGACAACAGAATTTTTATAATCTCCTAAAACAAGAGTGTGGCTTTTAGTGTGTTGAGATGAGAATTTTTTTAACTGCTTGATTAATATGTTGGGTGAAAAGCCCCTGTCAATAGCTATTGCTTTTAAATAATTTAGTTCTTCATCAAGGGCTAGTTTGGAGGAGCAAACTTGAAGAGCACGGAAAACATAGGAATAAAATGAAGCTAACTTTTGTTTAGTCGGATGACATGATTTAAAGTGTGGTGGAAGGCAAACCGATGAAGGTTTACGGTAAACTGTAGTACTGAAGTTGGATGTGTTACGTGTGACCAGAATGTCGAGAAACGGAAGAGAATTGCAAGTCTCAAGTTCAAAAGTGAACTGAATAGCAGGATCAATAGAATTCATTGTTGAAAGAACTTTATTTAAATCATCTTTATTACCTTCAAACAGGGTAAAAGTATCGTCTACGTAGCGGAACCATGCCGGGAAGTTTAAAGTTTCAAAACAATTTTGATTCATAATAATGCATGTAGATATCAGCCAGGATGGGACTAAGGGGGCTTCCAATGGCTAATCCCTCAGTTTGCTTGTAATATTTATTTTGGAAAACAAAATGTGTTTGTTTCAAACAGAGTTGAGTGAGAGAAATTAGCTCATCAATTTCGATGCAAGAGAAATGAAATTCGCGAAGTCTGGTTTCTACATCTTAATGCACCCTCCACTGGGACATTGGTGAATAATGATTTTACATCAAAAGAAACCATGAGTAAATTACTAGGAGAAATGTTTTTAAACCTTTTTTTACAAACTCTATTGAATTTTTTATGGGTGTAAATGTTATTGTCTAATAGAGTGGAAAATCTAGAAACTAATATTTAGCTAAAGGATACGAGGCAGTACCTAAATTTGATACAATAGGGCGGAAAGGAATACCACTTTTATGAATTTTGGGAAGAGCATATAATCTGGCACAATTCGCAACAGATGGGATAAGCGAATGTTTTAAGTTGCTTGAAATGATTTGCGAAGATTTGATCGCAGTTTTATTTTGGATAAGTCCGAAGGTGAAGGATCTTTAGGGATCGGATTATATGGTCCTTCGTTTAAGAGTTTAGTGACACCATCGTTGTAAGTGTTCTTATCCATGACGACTATCTGGCCACCTTTGTCGGCCTTTGAAATGATAATATCCGGGTTAGAATGAATTTCGCGCATTGTAGCTCTTTCTCTCGCAGTTAGATTTGGGTTTCAAAGGTTTATTATTGAATTTCACATTATGAGCGATAAGATGCCTAATCATTTCTTTCTGTGAATCTGAAACTTTACTGAACTTGAAACTTTTTCGATAGGAGCCAAAATCTTTGGAATCGAGGGTTTACAGGTTTGTGAGAAGTTAAAATTATATTTTAGAATTCTCTCTTGGTTCTTCTGAAAGACTAACATTAGAAATATTAACTATTGGCTTGATGTTTACAATGGGAAGATTTTTTGAAACTACTTGAACTGGAAGACTGTAAAAGAAGTTTTTCGAATTTAACTGCAAGGGTGTTTTTATGACGGTTAACTGCATTCTCCGTTCTAGACCAAGACATTTGTTCAAGGGCAGTGAATTTTGGATATGATTTTAGCGAGTTCCAGATGAAGCTTATAGAGTTCATGTTCAATTTTGGACAATGTTGACGTGTATCCCTTATCACGGACCGAAATAAGGCAAGCTTGCAATTTAACAGAATTCTTGAAACGCGACTCGAAGGTTTTTGATTAGATTTGATTTGAATAAAATTGGGGATCAATTTTTTTACATTTACATTTAAGTAAAAAAGTCAAGATGATTCAGGAATTTTTGCGTTTTCAGGCGTAATTTAGTGAAACGATTAACGGATGAAGGCATGATAAACAATGCAGAAAATCAAACTAAATTAACAAAGCATATAAGTACACACAAACAGCAGAAAAATCCCTCACTGAAATGAATAGAAAAACAAAAAGTTTGTAAGCAAAATGCATGAAATCCGACAAGCAAAGCACAATATCCAATGTAACAAAACATAAACATAACTTGAAATTGCAAAAATGTACTCACCGAAAACTCCTACAATCACAAAATGGCGGCCACACCACGTGCAAAAAAGAAAGCAAAATGTAAGCCTGTTTGGGGCTTCTATAATTAGACACAATAACACGCCGAATAAATACTAATTCAGAAGTCAAACAACAAAAATCAGCGTTATACCTCATCAGCAACAAAAATCAGTCAAACAAGAAAAATCAGCGTTATACCTAAATCAGCGTTATAAATATTACAAGCAAACTGAGGGATTAGCCATGGGAAGCCCCCTCAGTCCCATCCTGGCTGATATCTACATGCATTATTATGAATCAAATTGTTTGAAACTTTAAACTCCCGCCAGGTTCCGCTACGTAGACGATACTTTTACCCTGTTTGAAGGTAATAAAGATGGATTTAAATAAAGTTCTTTCAACAATGAATTCTATTGATCCTGCTATTCAGTTCACTTTTGAACTTGAGACTTGCAATTCTCGTCCGTTTCTCGACATTCTGGTCACACGTAACACATCCAACTTCAGTACTACAGTTTACCGTAAACCTTCATCGGTTTGCCTTCCACCACCACTTTAAATCATGTCATCCGACTAAACAAAAGTTTAGCTTCATTTTATTCTATGTTTTCCGTGCTCTTCAAGTTTGCTCTCCTCCAAACTAGCCCTTGATGAAGAAACTAATTATTTAAAAGCAATAGCTATTGACATGGGCTTTTTCACCCAACATTATTAATCAAAGTTAAAAAATTCCATCTCAACACACTAAAAGCCACACTCTTATTTTAGGAGATTATAAAAATTCTGTTGTCATTTCCCTTCTTTCCATCAATTAGCTATTAAAGTTGCACTATTTTGCAGAAAATTTTAACTTTCGGGTTGTTTATTCTCCCATCAATAAATTCCAACTTCTATACTCAAGGACCCCATTCCGGATATGAATTCCTGGGTTATTTATAGGATTCCTTGCCAGTGTGGTTTAATTTACATTGGCCAAACTAAGAGAGCCTTAAATTTCGCGACAAAGAACATGAGGCATATGTTAGAAAAAAGGAAACACAGAAGTCTTCTGTTTGCTCAAACATTGTTGGCCCGAAAATCACACTTTCAATTTTTCTGCTGCCAAAATTATTCAAAAACATCTTCCATTGGAGAACTGGATTTTCTAGAGGCATTTCACATTCATAAAAATCTTTCTGTTCTAGTTAACGATCCTAATTCCAATCCAAATTTGCCTTCGGCTTTTAGAGAAATTATGTTTTAGTTCTGGTTTCGCCAACAGATGGCGCCACTTGCTTATTCTTGTCCAGGCTTTCTTATCTTATCTAATCATTATTTTTCCTATTTGTTCATTTGCGGTTTTTTGCAGCTAAAGAAATGGTTCGGTAAAACCATCGAAACTAGTCCTGTGAAAAATTTTGTAGGTATAACGCTGATGTTTTGTTGTTTGACTTCTGAATTAGTATTATTCGGCGTGTTATTGTGTCTAATTATAGAAGCCCCAAACAGGCTTACATTTTGCTTTCTTTTTTGCACGTGGTGTGGCCGCCATTTTGTGATTGTAGGAGTTTCGGTGAGTACATTTTTTGCAATTTTCAAGTTATGTTTATGTTTTGTTATACATTTGGATATTGTGCTTTGCTTGTCTGATTTCATGCATTTTGTTTACAAACTTTTTGTTTTCTATTCATTTCAGTGAGGGTTTTTTCTGCTGTTTGTGTGTACTTTATTATGCTTTGTTAATTTAGTTTGATTTTCTGCATTGTTTATCATGCCTTCATCCGTTAATCGTTTCACCTAAATTATGCCTGAAATGGCAAATAATTCCTGAATCAATCTTGACTTTTTACTTAAAGTGTAAATGTAAAAATTGATCCCCAATTTTATTCAAATCAAATCTAATCAAAAACCTTCGAGTCGCGTTTCAAGAATTCTGTTAATTGCAAGCTTGCCTTACTTTCGGTCCGTGATAAGGGGATACACGTCAACAATTGTCCAAAATTGAACATGAACTCAATAAGCTTCATCTGGAACTCGCTAAATCATATCCAAAATTCACTGCCCTTGAACAAATGTCTTGGTCTAGAACGGAGAATGCAGTTAACCGTCATAAAAACACCCTTGCAGTTAAATTCGAAAAACTTCTTTTACAGTCTTCCAGTTCAAGTAGTTCAAAAAATCTTCCCATTGTAAACATCAAGCCAATAGTTAATATTTCTAATGTTAGTCTTTCAGAAGACCAAGAGAGAATTCTAAAATATAATTTTAACTTCTCACAAACCTGTAAACCCTCGATTCCAAAGATTTTGGCTCCTATCGAAAAAGTTTTCAAGTTCAGTAAAGTTTCAGATTCACAGAAAGAAATGATTAGGCATCTTATCGCTCATAATGTGAAATTCAATAATAAACCTTTGAAACCAAATCTAACTGCGAGAGAAAGAGCTACAATGCGCGAAATTCATTCTAACCCGGATATTATCATTTCAAAGGCCGACAAAGGTGGCCAGATAGTCGTCATGGATAAGAACACTTACATCGATGGGTGTCACTAAACTCTTAAACGAAGGACCATATAAATCCGATCCCTAAAGATCCTTCACCTTCGGACTTATCCAAAATAAAAACTGCGATCAAATCTTCGCAAATCATTTCAAGCAACTTAAAACATTCGCTTATCCCATCTGTTGCGAATTGTGCCAGATTATATGCTCTTCCCAAAATTCATAAAAGTGGTATTCCTTTCCGCCCTATTGTATCAAATTTAGGTACTGCCTCGTATCCTTTAGCTAAATATTTAGTTTCTAGATTTTCCACTCTATTAGACAATAACATTTACACCATAAAAAATTCAATAGAGTTTGTAAAAAAGGTTAAAACATTTCTCCTAGTAATTTACTCATGGTTACTCATGGTTTTCTTTTGATGTAAAATCATTATTCACCAATGTCCCAGTGGAGGGTGCATTAAGATGTCTAGAAACCAGACTTCGCGAATTTCATTTCTCTTGCATCGAAATTGATGAGCTAATTTCTCTCACTCAACTCTGTTTGAAACAAACACATTTTGTTTTCCAAAATAAATATTACAAGCAAACTGAGGGATTAGCCATGGAAAGCCCCCTCAGTCCCATCCTGGCTGATATCTACATGCATTATTATGAATCAAAATTGTTTGAAACTTTAAACTTCCGGCATGGGTTCCGCTACGTAGACGATACTTTTACCCTGTTTGAAGGTAATAAAGATGATTTAAATAAAGTTCTTTCAACAATGAATTCTATTGATCCTGCTATTCAGTTCACTTTTGAACTTGAGACTTGCAATTCTCTTCCGTTTTCTCGACATTCTGGTCACACGTAACACATCCAACTTCAGTACTACAGTTTACCGTAAACCTTCATCGGTTTGCCTTCCACCACACTTTAAATCATGTCATCCGACTAAACAAAAGTTAGCTTCATTTTATTCCTATGTTTTCCGTGCTCTTCAAGTTTGCTCCTCCAAACTAGCCCTTGATGAAGAACTAAATTATTTAAAAGCAATAGCTATTGACAGGGGCTTTTCACCCAACATTATTAATCAAGCAGTTAAAAAATTCTCATCTCAACACACTAAAAGCCACACTCTTATTTTAGGAGATTATAAAAATTCTGTTGTCATTCCCTTCTTTCCATCAATTAGCTATAAAGTTGCACATATTTTGCAGAAATTTAACTTTCGGGTTGTTTTTATTTTATTCTCCCATCAATAAAATTCCAACTTCTATACTCAAGGACCCCATTCCGGATATGAATTCCTGGGGTATTTATAGGATTCTTCCTTACCAGTGTGGTTTAATTTACATTGGCCAAACTAAGAGAGCCTTAAAATTTCGCGTCAAAGAACATGAGGCATATGTTAGAAAAAAGGAAACACAGAAGTCTTCTGTTGCTCAACATTGTTGGTCCGAAAATCACACTTTCAATTTTTCTGCTGCCAAAATTATTCAAAAAACATCTTCCATTGGAGAACTGGATTTTCTAGAGGCATTTCACATTCATAAAAATCTTTCTGTTCTAGTTAACGATCCTAATTCCAATCCAAAATTTGCCTTCGGCTTTTAGAGAAATTATGTTTTAGTTCTGGTTTCGCGCCAACAGATGGCGCCACTTGCTTTATTCTTGTCCAGGCTTTCTTATCTTATCTAATCATTATTTCCTATCTTGTTCATTTGCGGTTTTGCAGCTGAAGATGATGGTTCGGTAAAACCATCGAAACTAGTCCTGTGAAAAATTTTTGTAGGTATAACGCTGATTTTTGTTGTTTGACTTCTGAACGATATGTTAAGTTTGAAAACTAATCTATAACTAAATGTATCTTTATATTTTTTAGTTAATAACACTAGCCAACTAGTATATACACTTACATAAATATAAACATATGACATATAACTAGTATGCGCAAATTGTAAGTACTTACACAACTAGTGTAACTTCTTTATAATTTTTTCCAATTTTCATTTTGACACGCGGTACCCTGGGCTGTGACTCAGTTTGAAGATCACTGTTCTACAGCAAAAAAAGTGTAATGGCATTCTCTTTCTTCTTCACTATTTACTAAAAAGATACAAGTTTGCATTTTATTGTTCCCTTTTCTGGTGCTAAGTGTATGATCATAACAGACATACACATTTCTTAAGATATTACTACGAAGTGATTGTAGTTGCAAAAATTTTGTTGCTCATTTCCATTATCAAATATATTTACACTATTTAAAAATGACTAAAATTTATGATCATATAACAATAAAGCCTAAAAGTTATATTCATATTACATTCAGAGAAATATCTAATGAATTTTTTATTTATAAATGATTTTTTATATCAGCATATACACACCTGGAAATGATGATGAGTCGTGCGAAGAACAATTCACGTCTTCTCTTATGGATCAACACTTAACGAAGGTAAGTCTTAAAAGAAAACTCTAAGGGCGTGACTTATCAGTAAATTGAATATAATGTCTGCTTTCACTCTTTCACCAGCTTCATAGTTTTATACCTTTTATGCAGACAGAGTCAACTGTGACTCAGCTCCGGTGCTTCCTACTTTTTGAGGAAATCAAAAATTTACCTGGAGCTCCAACTTGAATGCTTGAATTTTCAATAGCTGCGTCGCAATTTTAGCAGAAAACTCTGTTTCTAATTCAAATATTATTTAGCAGCGTCACAGAAGCTGACATTACTAATAGCTATAGAAGACATGTCTGCATCCCTTTCTTTAGGAAAAGCAAAACAGGCGGGAAAAGACCTGCGAATGAAAACACCTACGTCCAAATGTGGTCTTCAGATGTGTAGAAGAGGAATATTGATGAGCTTTTCCTAGTACTTCCTGAAATACTCTATTCATTCATTGAACTTGCCTGAACAATCAGAAGATGATAGCATTTTTACTTCCTTGTACGAAGTAAAAAGGAAGTATTGTAGTCGCGAAAAGTTTCAGGCAGCATATTTCAACGAAAATATCCATTTTGACAGCTATCGAATGCAATTTAACGATGTTTTTGCGTGACATCTGTACGTAAGGACAGAATAAAAGACTCTTTTCCTCAAAAAAATTATAAAACTGCTTTAAAATTAATTCTGGAGAGAATTTTTCGCGTGTGTCTGCACGTACGTATGTAGTATCTCGCATAACTCAAAAACGAGTAGCCTCAGAACGTTGAAATTTTGTATATAGGGACTGCGATAACATGTAGATGTGCACTTTGTATTTTGATTGCAATCGGCCGCACCAAACGTATATAAATATATTTATATATATATATCCACTCTGTTACCCGGCTCAGTGATCTCAGTTTCATTACTCTTATATGTTTGTAAATTGTGCATCTTTTGCTTTAAAAATGATTGAATTATGTTGTTCTTATCATTCGGTTAACTTTTTTATGCCTTTAGGAAATCTGCAAGTAGTATTTGTAGAATTATCAACAATTTAAAAGCTGTTTGAGTGCGGTTAAGCCTAAGTTTTAAATAACATGGCGGAGATATTTGTTTACATTTGAAACGGCGGAATAGTAGATTTGTTGCCAATATAGAGAGACTAAGCTTCCCAACAACAAAGATGACGCCTTTATTTATTATTGCGAATTAAATCATGCTTAATCCTTTCGTCGTTAACTGAACTTGCCAACGCTTTACAGAAATACAAGATTCCATTGCAAAAAATACAAGGCCTCTATTTATCCATTCCGAGAAGACTGCAAGCTGTTTTGAATGCCAACAGTCTTATAATGTATTAGTCACAGCAGTACGTTTTTATTTACGTGTTTCCCTATTTTTGTTCAACCCCTATATTTCCTGTCTTTAGTTTTCAATACCTCATCTTGCTATTGTTAAATTGTCCACCTTTTATTTCCTTTATTACTCCATTCGATTTTTCTGATGCGTTATTTTAACTTTATCTACTTATTATTGATTTAACTAAATTTATTGGTTGTTTACTGTTTATAATATAATTTAATTATTCATCATTTAGTTGTTACTATTTTAGCAGTCCAAAGGGGCAATTTACCCAGAAGGACTATTAATTATTCTTGGGCATTTTGAGTTGGTTTACTATAAATGTCGGTTCACTTTCAAATTGTTGCCACCAAATATTAGAGACCTGTGTAGTATTTAACAAAATTATCTGCATAAATGTACATATGTTTCCCGCATTCTGATAAAACAGCGGTACCTAGAGCCATTAACGTACGTTTCCACCCGAATATGGGCATCTGGAAGCCCGAATTTGGAATTTGTTTTATTATCTATTTCATATTTTGTAAAACTTTAACGAATTTTTTATTAACAAACTCGACGATTTTAAAACGAGCAATGGCAACGCTCTACGAATAAAAAAATTATCTCCAGCGCGTGAGACTGTGTATCGGGAATTCTAAAGATATGCTAAAGGTGTGCTAATTTTAAAATTATTTTGCTTTATTTTATGCTCTTTTTAAATTATCTTACTATATGGCTGTTGAACTGAATTTTATGGTTTAAATGCGAAGAACGTGATATTTAATAAATAAAGGCACCACACAAAACTTAAAAAAAAAAAAGTCTTTTTATACGTAGTGTAAAATCTGAAAGCTTTCAGACTTTTATATTTTTTATTGTTGATATGGTTTTATTTGTCGGCATTTCGGGCCCACTTCTGTAGGAATTCAGCGTTTTAAATTTTAAAAATCAAGTCCTGCCTCTAGCAGTTTTAGCGACTGAATGTTGCTTACTAATTTGATTTTCATTTTTAATTATTTGAGTCGGTTTTAACATTTTTCTGAAATCCTGTATAATCTCATGCAAACAAAACTAATTGTTACTTGTTCTAACCCGCCGAGAAAATTTTAAGATCTGAAACCTTAATTTCTAAATGAAATATATGTTATTGCGAGCATTTTTTACGATTACGATTTCATAAGATAACATGCAGAGAAAATTATCTGTCACGTATTTTAAAACAGCTGGATAATTTTAAGATCTGAAAATATTAATTTATAAGAGAAGTACACATTACGTATCACTTTTAATGGAAATAAACAACTTAGTGTAAAATAGTAAATACTATTACACAGCGTTTCTCAAACCTTTTTCAAGTGGGGAACACTTTTACAAATTAGAACATTCTGCGGACTATTTTATTTTTATTTCCTTCAAAAGCAGATTTTTAGCGTATGTTACTATCAGTATACTTATATTTTAAAATGTAATTAATTGAAATTCATTTAATGTTATGTATACTGGTATAAAGCAACTAAATTAATAGAAAAAATTTCGTAATCATTTTTTATAAATTCACGGCTGTTAGAGTTTGGATAATCTTTATATTCTTAACTTAAAGTTAAATAAATGTTGATACTCACAATAAATGAAACAGAGCAGCATGCCGATTCGTGCACAGATGTTTCATCCCTGAATGTATGCTGATAAGCTTAAGTTTGAGACTGACGCATACATTAGTTAGATTTCAGTATTCTTTTATTGAGTTTGAGTATATTTGAGGTAAGGAAAACTCTTTCTTCCACAGATACGTAGAAGTACAGTTTTTAAAGCGCAGTTTTAGAATTCAATGTATTCCGCGTTCACTGGCGAGAGATGAGCCTAGAACCCTGAGGCGATAGATGTGCCTAGAAATGATGGCGAGAAGCACCACAGTAATAGTGCTGAAAATTCTTTTTCTATTAATAACGTTTGAGTCGGAAGTTCACAGATATAGTAACCGATAATAAATATCATAAAATATTGGTTTTGTGAGAAAAAGTGATAAATGTTTGCCATGTTTGATTTCAAAATTCTGAGATTTTTTAGCTGTAATGTGGTAAACGCGGTTAGTTTGAATTTTACTTATGGTCTTGTTTGGAAACATAGGAGTACCACAAGCTCAGGCTTCGAGAATCATTTGTAGTCCTCTGACCACAATATGAGAAAGGCTACTTTAAAATAAAAGAAAACTATATTATATTGAACACAGATCATTATTCTGTGCATTCAAACATGCAGATAATCAAAATTAAATGGATGTAGGTTTAAACTTTTCTTAACATACATTTTACTTTTATTTAAGTTGTTTCTGTGATGTTGAGCACAGATATTGAACACAGATAATTATTCTGTATATTCAAACAATACATAATTATTCTGTGTATTCAAACACGCAGTTAACTCAAATTGAATGGATATAGGTTTAAACTTTTGTTAACATACATTTTCCTTTTAGGCAAGTTGGTTTTGTGAAGTTGAACATTACATTGGAGTTAGACATTTTCCTGAAGCTCCTTCTAAGCACAACCTTCTATGTCGTGAAGAAGGCACATGGTTCACAGTACTGAGGAATCCAGATTTTGCTAAAGGGAGGTGGGTTTTGTGTTCACTTTTTTATATTTTATTGTCTATATCTTTATTCTAGTGCACGAAATAAGGGGAAAATATATACCATTTTGTTTTCTGTAAAGGAAATGGAATTAAAATCAACAAATTCAAAAATAATAGGACATAATTTTTGTTTTGTCATTTTTGAATGTTGCGAGTTAATTACGGTAAGGAAAAAAATTGCATGGTACAATAAGTTAACACCAGACATATTCACTGATGCTAAATTCATTTCTTCTGAGATTTAGAATACGACAGTTTTCATATCTCAAACACGATTAAGACTGCTCACGCTCCATGATGTTTTAATGTATGGGCAAAATGGGTTCTGCCCGAAAGCCTCGCGACTGTAGGGGTTTGTAAGGCAGGGGCTACGGAACTCTACAAAAACTCGAGATCCCAAAATTCTGTTCAGACATCCAATATTACGCTATAGATTTAAGCATCATAAGGGCAGCTCACATGAATCTGATTTTGTTATTAAGCCTAATGTGACATGGCTTAGCTCTCAATGACGAAGGCTATATGCAGAGCAATGGGAACCGGACATTATTTAAATGAATAATACTCACTTGTTATTTCACGAAAAAAAAGGTATTATTGCGAAACAGTCTTCATAATTCAAGGCCGTTTGAAAGCATATTAATGAAAAATGATGTCAGACAGGTGATGTCCATTTGCTTGGATGCAAGATTCAAGCCTTTCTTAGAAAGCGGTATATGCGCAGTCCAGGATCTCACGATCAATTGCTGCTACCTCCTGCTATGATTGTCTCCTTCAGATCGCCCAGTGTGAGGGAATCGTGGGCATATACACGTGACTTCAGATATTCCTGGGGAGGGAAGTCGCAAGTGCTTAAATCTGGGGACCTTGTAGGCCACGGTATGTCGCCGAAACGTGAAATGACTCTTCCCAGGAACATGTAACGAACCACGTGCAGTGTACGGAGTTGCACCATCTTGTTGAAAATAAACACTTTGCATGTGTAGTCATCGTGGTCGCAAGAAAGTGTAATAATTTCATGTGGATGAAACGTTCGTGTTAACTGACACAGGGGCACCATGTTCATTTTAAAATAAATACTACGAACCTGTGATGCCGAAATCGCCAATCGCACACCACACTGTTTCACGCGGTGTGTGGAGAAGCTTTTCGTGGATGTTGCAAGGATTTTCCTCTATCCCAGTAACCAAAAGTTTGTTTGTTGACCTCTCCACTCAAGTGAAAATGAACGTCTCTCTCATTAAGATCATTGCATTTGCATGTTCTTCAAGTAGCATTTGGATTCGGAAGGCAAAGTTCCTTCGTTGCTGATAATATATCGCCTTAAGTTGCTGAATAATACACATCTTGTAAGAATCAAAGACCGAGTCTTACTTCAAAATTGTGAGCAATGATTTCCGACTTAACCTTAATTTACCTCCATGTTTTCGTGCAGACCGCTGAGGACTCCAAGCCAGTGCTTGTCTCAATGTTTTCTGGCGTTCTTGCAATCTTCTTAAGACACGGTAGCTTCTTCTTTACAATCATTCCCGTTGTCCTTAGATTTTTAACCCATTTGAGAATCATACTGAAGCTGGAAATAATATCGTGGTGTCCAAGCTTGAAATGAACACGAAAAAAGGCCATTGTGATGCTGTGACTGATTCCGCATTTGTAACAAACTTTTTATGTGCAAGCATATGGTGCTATGCGGTCAACATACTGACATGGTATGCTGTAGCGATGGTTACGATATCTGGTTCCAATTCCTGCACCCCTAGCTCCATTTCACAAACATCCTGTTCCTGTCGGTCGCCCTGTATATAGCACCTTATGGATTTAGCAAAACACAGATTGATGGTGATGATGATTATGATAAATGTCGATGTAACAACTTTTAGTTGATGCTTCTTAATGTCTAAAAGGTTTTACACCATGAGGAAAATCCGAAAACATTCTACATGCGTCTCTACATGTGTACAAAGTAAAAGAAGTACTGCAATCGCGAAAAATTTTGCATATCATATTTCAACGGAAATATCCATTTAAACCCTTCTTGAATCCATCTGAACGACTTTTTTCGTGATGTCTCTACGTATAAACACTCCCCGATGGCCGACGCCGGAAAACCGGAGAAGCTACTGGCTAGGATCTGTACTTAGGCAAGCTTGGCCACAGCGATGTATAATCAGTTTTCACAGGACTAGAACCTCCGTTCATTCGGAGGATGGTTAAGGCTCGGCAGGGACCATATGGTACTGTCTTGTTTGCCTTTTGACTGTTGTGTCGTAACATGGGTTAATTTGAGGCTTCCCATGGGGGATTGGTTCCATTCGGTCATTTGCTGGGGGACTGACTGAGCGGATAGATCACCACAACGAATATAATCGTTGTGGAGTGGAAGCGTTGCCCGGTTGCTAAGGTAATTTCGAACTTTTTATTGTCTGAGCGTTATCTTTCGTCCAATACTGTGTATAAGGCCCAGAGGGGAACGCGGGGCTGCGCTTGCTTGGGTAGTCCCCTAGAGATCAGACGATTTTTCCTGAAAGGTAATAATCAGAGTAGGAATTTGTCTCCTGTGTTCTGTTCTGTACATACAAACAGAATAAAGAATTCTTTTCCCAAGACAGATTGCAAAATGGAATAAATTGGATTCAAGAGGGATTTTTCATGATATCTGTATGTACGTACGTATACCTATGTACGTATACCTTGCAGCCAATGCTATTGGCACCAGTGGTGCGATTCGCACCAACATTAACCACGCATGCGCTTTGAGTAGGCGGATTCGGAAGGAATCCTAAGCACGCGAACTGTCAAGTCTGTTGTAGTGAGTCTCTCTCTCTCTCTCTTTTTTTTTTTTTTTTTTTTTTTTTTTTTAAGGCAGGTTACTACTTTGACGTAGTTTATCATTTTTTAAGCGTTAGCAACTTTCAAAAGATTAGAAAGGGAAATATGTTCCTTTTCTTATATATATAAAAAGAAGGAACACTTTCTTTATTTATGTATATATAAAAAGGACAGATATTATATTCGCATAAACTATTCCAGCCGTTCGTTCTCCCGAACGGTTGAAATAGTTTAAATGACTGATTTGGGTAAAAGGGGGCTAAAAACTCATTTATATTTTTTGTACTTCTTAGAAAACATTTAGATTCAAATATGTGTTTTGCACAATCAAGATTTTTGTTCATTCCTCTTTGAAATCTTTCGTTTGAGAAAAAGTAATAAAACTTAGATAGAGTATGTCTGAGTAGAAAATTTAGACATGAAATAAGTTAAAAGCAATAAAATAAACTATTAAATTAAATTAACTACATAATAAACTGGTATTACAGTTTTGTAGCCTTGTTTAATTTTCTATGGAAATATCTTCATTTTCAGAACACAAAAAATATTTCCAAGGACTTTGAAATATAGTACAAACACATTAATAAATTAAATTTTATAAAAATGGGATATAAATTTAAAAGACAATAATTTATGTAAGAGATTTAATTCAGAAATTTGCACCCCCAAATGAATTATCAGATTTTATAAGGTTTTGTTTCATGAGTAACTTTGATTTTGAAATATGGCTTTTGAACTTATAAACATGTGTGGACACTGAAACCGTGATGCATATATATGAACATTATAATTTTCAATAAGTTTTATTATTATTGAATAATACATTCTCGCAGTTCTATGCTATAAGACTAGGGTCTAAGTTTGCATAAAAGTTCCTATGTTAAATAAAAGAATTTAACTTTTTATGAATATGAACATAACTTTTTATGATGACCGCTACCGCCTCTCTTATGGCAAATCCACGTAAAATGCTTGTACCTGAGCTGATTGTGCGCATGCGCTAACGTAGGTGGTGCGAATAGCCTCAAAGGCTACTCGAACCGTCAGTGCGATTAGCTACTGCGATATCTTGCACACCTCAAAAACGATTAGGCATAGAAAGTTGAAATATTGCGTACGTGATTGCACCTCTCTTCTTTATTGCAATGGGCAATACAAAACATATATATGATTTTCGTTTGACGAAACGTGCTAACGGTATTAGCTAAATTCCAGTTTTGAGACGCTTTTCCCGTGATAAGTCGGGATTAAACCTCGAGTCGGGCTAATATACCATTTATTGCAATTCTGTGTACATTCTTTCTGTGTATTTGATATGCTTTAATTTTTTCTGTGCATCATTTAAAATTTTAAATTTTGATTTAAAATAAGTAAGATTTAAGACCAAGCCGAGTAAGGGGGTGGGTATATATATATGTATATACCCACCCCCTTACTCGGCTTAAAAGTACTTAGTCTTTGATTTCGCAATTGTTGGTAGTAGTCATATATTTCCAATTACAGAAGTGTCTTAAACGACGAAAATATATATGTTTTGGCAATGTCAAATTTAAAACAAAATTAATTTTGGGTAAATAACGAAATTTAACTTTTAATGCGATCTTTCAGTGCCTAAACTTATATTTGCGAAAGTTTTATACTCGTTATGAAAAAATAAAAATACAAGATATTTGACTCCGCACGACAAAAGTTGACGGGAAGATTTAATTTAAAAGTTGCAAATTTTCTTGTGGTTGCAAGGCAAGTTGTAACTCAAGTTGTCCTACAAGGCAAGTTGTAACTTGCCTTGAGGAATATGTTAATTAAGTTAGAATAAATCGAGGAAGTAAGTTTAGATAAAGAGCAGCAAAAAAATGTATGTATAATGTAATATGCCGTTACAAGGAAGTCATATGGTGGCCACCTCAGATTTTTCCTTTTAAATATATATTCTCAGAGACCATTTGCAGTGAAAACAAGAAACACTGTTATTCTTACAGTGAAGCAGCTGCTAACTGCTAACTTTGTTCATCAAAATGAAAATAAATCTTAAAAATTTTCTAACTTCTCAACTACAAATAGCGTAATGTAGTAAGCCAAAAGTAGTCGCCTGCATAACCGCATCACAGTTGTTTAAATGACGTCACTGTGTAGAGACATTAGGATTTTTGATGCTGAGAGACGTGAAAAATAAGCAGTGCCCTCGACGGGACTCGAATCTTGGACCTCTGAATATGCGCCGAGTGTGCTGACCATCACACTGCGAAGGTATGCTAAGAAGGCGAGAGAAATACCTTATATGCACCCTTTTTAAAGGGCGACTGGTGATTAGTGGTCACCAAATCCTGATGGTGGAGAATCATCATCCACCACCGTTTTTAGTTTGGGTGCCATTGTAGAGACATTAGATTATTTCGAAGCAGGAGACATGAAAAATGAGCAATGCCTTCTCCGGAACTCGAACCTCGGACCTCTGGAAGACGTTTCGAGTGTGCTTAACCATTACACCACAAAGGCATGCTAAGCTGGCGGAAGAAATGCCTTATAACTGATTCTTTTCGTTTCTAGTTACGCATGTTTTTAGCATAAGTATTATAAGGTATTTCTCCCACTTTCCTAGCGTCCTTCGTGGTGTAGTGGTTCTGCACGCTGGGCCGGTATTCCAGAGGTCCGTGGTTCGATTCCCGGTGAAGGCGATTGCATATTTTTAATCTTTTCTGCTTCCAATTAACCTAATGACTCTACAGTATAAAATTGAAAACTTTAAACTATTAAGCCGCGAGTATATGATAAAGTATATGATAGTCTGACATGTGATTGAATTTCGTATCGTTGCCCAGCTTGTACTTAAGACACTGGTACTGAGATTATAGTGATACTTAGATCATAGTGTTAACTCTATTGTAGACACATTTAAGCAATTAACTTTTCCAATAACCTTGTTTTAAACAAGATAGATGCACATCCTGCCCCACCTCCGCTGCCTCTTGTTTAAAAAAAGTTGCACATTCTTCTTTTCGTAACAATTCACCTGCTATAACTTGTTACCAATATTTTTATTTGTGTATTGTGAAAGAAAGTTTTGGCAATTTTGCCAAACAGTTGTTTTCCATACTTGTTATTGTTCGATAAGAATTTTATGAATGAACATTTAACTCACCCTTTTCCGTTAGGAATGCAGCTAAAAGACATCCTTCTTCTCCTGATGTTACCTTCCAGTACGTCAGAGAATCATTGGCTCCAAGAGTGGTTGTCGCTATAGAAACTACATCGCAGATGAATATTCAGGTTTTTATGTCTATTTTTTGTATTTATCATTTAAAAACACGCCTCCAGTAATGGCCATTTTTATAATCAGTTATAGACCCTTCGGATGAATATGTAAGATTATTATAATTTTGCATAACTAGTTAGTAATTTTATCATTTAGATGTTTATTGTCACTACTCCCTTCCGTTTCACCACCAGAATACAAATTTAATTTCAGAGTATTTAAGCAAAGGTTTTTGGACTCTAAGATAAAGTCTGTTTCTACGTATTGAGGCACATTACTAGGTTTCCCTAGCTCAGGTAAGATCGCAGTCTTGGGATTTACAGTATAATTGACGGCATTCAAATTGCTACTCCGGTGGCAAGTTTGAGCCAGCTTCGCGTTAAATCAATTGTGTAGCCTTTTGCTTCTAGTTTAAGTTTTTTAAATTTGAATTTGACTATTACTTTAAGTTACAAGTGATGGCTGAGCTTGTCAGGCACGAGTCCTGCTTTTATGTTAAAATTCTAACTTAACAGAAAGGTTAATTTGTAACCTTCCAAAGTCTTTGTCACAATCTTCAGACCAGCGATATTTTGCTCCAAGTCTGTTAGGAGTTTGGATATGAGTTTATACTATTAAAGAACACTAGACTGTATAAATTACTGAGATTAAAAATTTGACATTAATTATTCTTTATTGATATCCAAATTTAAATGAAGTAATTTTTAATGCTGATGTTTTTACACGAATAATTCTTTTGTAAATTAAATTAAGCATTTTTCTTTTCGCCTCTGTTTAAATTAAATCTGTTTATATTAAACTGTTAAAATCTGTTTAAATTAAACAGATTTCTTTTCATCATTCTTTTGCTGTGGAGAGAAATAATTTTGCTTACCCATATTTTTATTTCCAAATAGTTTTTGTTATAATGGAAGGCAAGGAAATTCACATATCTCACGAATGCTTATTTTATTTGGATTAAAGGTTGTACCCAGTTGTTTAAAACGAAAGAAAGGAAAATTTCAAGAACTGCCTTCTCTCGCTTGCATTAGTTTCTAATATCACCTCGATGAAAATAACAATTCGAACTCAAATATGTTATCTAAGATTCTTTCAGCATATCTAAAATTTTTTCATCGCATCATATCTAAGATCCTTTCATCGAATAGGAATTTGATCCTTAAAACAGAAATTTGATCTAAGATCGATGCTTCGAAATATCTTTATTTCGATGAAGTATTGGTACGCCGCATTTGATTTTAGCTACAACAACAACAAAACAAAAAAAAAACTTTTAGGCAAATAGCCTTAGAGTGCTTTGCGATAATCAACTAAACCAAACCAAACCAGCTTGACTGGATATGCAAAATATAATAATGTATTACTGCTGTGTCTCTCTCTTCTTAGGTCTACACATTTACTTTATATTGTTGCGTTTTTCTCTTCCTGACAGCAGTTGTTACGTTATTTTCTTCCTTCGCATTTGTACGGGGTTCGTAGATTTGGAGTGAATAACGACGACACTGGATGAAGTATCGAAACACACCTTATTTAGACAATATTGTCAGGACAGCTCCAAAACACGTTTTACAGTCGTCGATGAACTACTATAAACACGCTGACATGATCAGCGACACAGCCTTCAGGTTATCAGGCTATCACGGTGGAGACAGCTTCACGGCAAAGCACTAAAGTACAGCTCTCGACTCTGCTTCGTCGTTCTCGGAGCTCCACGTACTCTCGAGACTCTCCACGCTACTACTCGCGATGCACTCGACGATACACAAGAGTAATAGCTCTCGACTCAGCACAGTCTAAAACAAAACTCGGCGATGCACTAAAAGACTCTCTCGATTCACTCGACGAGCAACTCGGCGCTAGACTTCGAGACAATGACTGACTCTCAGGTCGCTAGACGAGGCACACACACACTCCCTCTCGATGAAGCACACACACACTAACTGACTGCGGACTAGCAGTGTTTATATAGCTTTCGGCTTGTGTTCGAGAACATTCTGGGCTAAACCGGTAAGAATTCGTTCTAGAAGGTTCTCCATCCGTCCATGGCATATCGCCAATTTTGTCGCCAAATGTCACCAAATGGGCGATTTCTTGCCAAATGTGGCAACCCTGCCTTCCCTTGCCATTTATGGCAACCCTAAAACTGCTTTGCGGGGAAGCTATCTTACCGCGCCTATACATTTCGTAACAATATGTATGTATTTATATAAAAATTTTCAAACTTTTCTGTCAGAGGTAGGACGTATCCTAAATTTTCTTCAATCTGAATCTAAATTCTACACTGCTGTCGAATTCGTGTAGACTCATTTAGTTATTTTAAATCGGAGACATGAAAAATGAGCAATGCTCTCGCCGGGACTCGAACCTGAACCTCCCGGTAACCTGGACCTCCCGGACCTGGTGTAAGGGGACCGAGTGTGCTACCTTTACACCACGAAGACATAACTGGAAAGAGGGAGAAAATATCTTACATGTTTCATATATGAATATTACGGAGGGGAAAATATATTTTAATTAAAAGTTTTTAGCTTAGCAAAATTTAATCTCTCGTTAAATCACTCATTTAGGTAAAACAAATTTTAGAATACTGTTTATCATAATACATCAATAATTATTATGAAAACACAAACAAAAGAATTAAATGAAGCATAAAATGAAAAATTTTGAATCTTGGAATTTATATCTCAGTATATTTTGACACAAAATATGAGTAATAGTTCACGATTTTATATAATTTTTCAAACCCTACTAAATTATATCAAGTATGAAAATTAGAGGATTATTTCAAGAACTAACGCATGGACATTAAACATGGAACGCTAAATTCTGCCCAAAAAATTAATGGCGGAGATCTCAGCGGGGTCATGAATTAATATTAACGATCCAAACCAAATGAAATCGCAATAAATACTTATTCAGTGAATGAATGCTTCTAATGAATGTCAATAAAGCTAATATTTTCAAAGTTTTCCGTTGAAATGTTTGACTTTTTCTAACTCAAAATGGTTAGGATTTTGGTTTAGGTTACGGTCGAAAAATTCGAATGGGGATAAAAATGCATGAAAATTCGAGTTTTGGAATAATGTATCTTTTGGTATTTTAGACGCGAATGTTCTTTTTCGAGAAATTTCAGGATTCGAATGTGTTCTTTCTGTGCATTTCAAATTCAATCTTTAAGTTTGAAACTTGATAAAGTCCATTCCTTAATAATTATAATCTATACCTATGTCCAGTTTAGGTATTCACTAACAAAGAATGCCTTCTCTCGTTTCGTCTTATATGACCTACCTTACGGAAGTGAACTGACATTATACGTCTTCGAAAATGACAAGCCTAGCCTAATAACATCTTCAGTTCGTTTAGAGGACGAAGGATCCAGGTCCAGGTATCTTGAAGGACAACCTCTTCCTGAAAGTCCATCTCAAGATTCTGAACCTTGTAGCGAATGCCTGTTGGAATATATTCTCCAAGTAAGTTTGCTATTTCCAGTTATTTAAATTATAGCTGAACTACTAAAGCAAATCATTTCATTTTGCTTTCGACTAGACAGCTGTTCGCCATGTATTCGCATCATCGTGAATAGTAAAGACGATGGGGCATAAATACAATCTGCGGTGATTATGCCATCTGGGAACTGTTCTTTCTATAGAAACTAATCTTATACATGGAAATAAGTTGGGAAGTTAAAACTGTAGTGTAACTACCCTGAATTAAACCTACAAGTTACATATTCAACCGGTTCTGAATTATTGCAATGAAGTGTCTCTCTCTCGTAGACTGAAGACTTTTCATTGTCTGAAGTGTCTCGGCCTTGGAAAAAGTTTTGAAACTTCTTGATACTTTCCAAAACCAGGTGCTAAGCATGATCACTGGAAGAGTTAAGACTACTGCTGTGCTTGCTGTGCAAATTACTTTGTAGCCAAAGCCGGTAGTTAATTTAAGTCAGAAGGATGCAGCTATTCTTTTTAACAGACTAATTAGACTCCCAAATCTAAAGTAATCTAAGTAAAATAATCTAAAGGCTCAGAGGGACTTCATCCAATGCGTTCATGAGAACGCCCATTATAACGTTCTGGTACTCTTCTGTTATCGAGATCAGATTCAGAAATCCATGTGTGTATGGATGTATGGGTTCATGCATGCATGTATAAGTGCGTATATATATGTGTGTATACTCACACAACATATATATGCACATATACACACGTGCATACATACATACATCTTTGAATCCGGTCCCGATGACAGAAGAGTACCAATGTTATAATGATGTGCCCTATGAACTAGTATATTTTATGAGTCCATTCAGATACATGGTTCTCGATGTCAGATTGGACTTGGCTCTGAATGAGAGAAAACGTGACCTTAGTCCTATTGCTGTTGCCTCAGAAACTATTGGCACTCGTTTTCCTTTTGACGAGTGGCTTCACATCTAATCACATCTAATCTTCTGACGCGTGGCTTATTACTAATGGGTCTCTTTTGGATTTTATTTAGGATCTCAGTGCTGTTGTTTTTAGTTTCCTTTTTCCATTTTACCTACATGTTGACTCGTTTACCACTCACTTTGATAGAGAACTCGAAGCTATTTATATAACCTCGCTTGCTATTCGTCATTCCTCACTTGAGAAGGCTGTAATTTTTCAGATTTTCTGTTGTCCAGACTTTGACAAGCAGCCGGGAGAATGGGGGCTTCTGTAAGAGAGCTCCTGAAAGGGATTCAAGCAAAGGTTGCTATCTAATGGGTACTATTACATTGTGGTACCTATGGAAATGAGATAGCAGACCTTCTGGCGAAAAAGAGAAATAATATTCTGCAAACGTTTTACAGTAACCTTTCCCTCTAGTCTGCTAAAAGAAATAAATATAATTTTCAAGCAATCGTTTCATCACGTGGCTTCCCACATTGCTGATCGTAAGCCCTAAAATGTGCTTTGTAGTACTCACAGTGTCCCGGATTCACTTTATGCTGCCGCTGTAGCCGATTTTAGACTTTTGACCAGATGCGATTGTCTTAGTGCCTATTTGTTTCGTTTTAAACTGACTAATTCACCTGAATGTGTTCTGTGTGACTCCAGAAAAGTCATGACTGCTGCTTATCTGTATGTGTGTTCTGTACTAAATGATTTGGATCGTACTGTTAAAAAGTATTGGAAAGCTCATCCTCTAATGATCTGACGGTCAATGGCTTGGCATTTGCTTAACTATTTAACATTTTAACTAAGTGGTTTTCTATTAAGCTTTATGTAGACTTAAGAATCAACTACTTAATCTTAAATTTTCTTTTGCAGGTTTAAATAGTATAAATTTGGAGCTGCCTTTCTTAAGGAAAGTAAAATGACTGAATATTTTCAACAACTGTAATAAATGGATGTGTTAAGCTTTTTGATTATTTACTTATTTTTTATATGTCTTATATTCTGTTAAATAAGGAGCAATTATCTTCAGAATGTGTGAGACATGGAAGGATTTAAACGTCCTGCATAGTTTATGTTTCAACATAATTTTATTTCAGTCGAACGCAGAAGGCAACAATACCTCACCATCTCCTCATATTGTGATCTTAGTCACTACGCAAGAGTACCTAAATGCCTCCAGATATCCAGCACTCAAGCAGCAGTTGTTAGAGTCTGAAATCCAACTTCATGCTTTCCTATTTCCCAGCGTTAACGAAGAATACGAAAGCTATAAGATTCCTCTCTATAAACTGCTCTCAGAAACAGGAGGACAGCTGGTCGCTGTGCAAGAGGACATCCTTGGCAATTTATACAGAGGCTTCATAAATGCTGTACGAGGTTACAAGACACATGATTTGGTAAGTATGATAGACTTAATTTATTCTTATTAATGATTTAGATGCAGTTCAGATTTTCATGTCATCATATTTTCTATGCTGATCGATTTAAAAAAAAAATATGTTTGTAACATAATCTTTAAGGTTGCAGGAATTATTTTAATTTTCTAATAGTTATTTTTGATTTTGAAACTCTTTCCTTTGTTATGTTATTTCCCACCTACAATTCCCTACTAGAATGAGTTTTCAGTTTCGCGTTTTATGTAAATGAGGTAGAACCAGTATTTAAGGGGAAGTTCAGTCGCTTCCGCAGAAGAGCTCAGGAGTTCTCAGTAGAGCGTGTTCTGCCTTCTGGCCACCTTGATTCGTTAAACCTATCTTACTACGTTCGGCTATAGTCTTACGTGCCTGTTAATATTCGCCGGTGAGATTTACCTTAGGGCGAAATGGGTTAGCTATTTCTCTCCAGCTTCGACTAAGTTTTAGTTAGTTAGAATTAAATTAGTTTCTAATTTTCTAGCTTAAGTGGACGCTTTCCTGTTAGCCCGAGAGGAGTCGTCTATTACGAGGGCTATCCAGAAAGTAGATTACGTTTTGGAATAAAAAAATAAACAAAGTATAGGAAACAAATTTTATTATATACAGATGAAAGCCACACTCAAATACTACTTTTCTACATAGTCACCATACAAATTAAGGCATTTATCGTAGCGATGTACGAGCTTGGAAATTCCTTCGTCGAAAAATTCGGCCGCCTGCGCCTTCAACCACTTCGTTACCTCTTCTTGCCTTCCATCTTGCACAAAACTTGTGGTAACCAAGCTTTTCGCTGATGATTTCGTGCAACAAACTTCGCGAAATTTGTGGAAAACTCAAAGAAAGTTCCGTTATTGTGAAATTTCGATTTTCACGGACTTTTAGCATCGACTTTTTCGAGAAGTTCGGCGGTCACTATGCTGGGTCTCCCACTTCGATCTTCGTCGTGAACATTGGTTCGGCCATTTTGAAATCTTATGACCCACTGACGCACTCCACCTTCAGTGATAATGTTGTCCCCATATACACTTCACGAAGCTGCCGATAGATTTCTATCGGTTTACAGTTTTTTTGCAGCTAAGTGGACGTTTCCTGTTAGCGCGAAGCGAGTCGTCTCTTATTCGTATGAGCATTTTTTTTTTTTTTTTTTTAGTCCAAAGGGATTTGAATCCCGAAGGACTATTAGTTTCGTTTTGGCATTTTGCGTCGGACGGATAAATGTCGGTTCACTTTTCAAACTGTTGCCATAAAATGTTAGAGTCCTGCATTATATTTGAAGAAATTAAATAATGAAAATCTGCGTAAATGTATGTATATTTCTCACATTGTCATAAAATAACGGTACATAGAGTCATCGAATTTTGAATAACGTAATCCTCCAACGAATATGAGCATGTGGAAGACCAAATTTGAAATTTGAAATTTGTTTTATGATCGATTTCCTATTTTTTTAAAACTTTGACGAATTTTTGATTAACAAACTCAAGGATTTCAAAGCGAGCAATGGCAACGTTGTGCAGAAAAAACATTTTTATCTCCAGCGCGTGAGTCTCTGTATCGGAAATTCTAAAGATATGCTCGTTTTAAAACTATTTTGCGATATTGCTGTTGCACTGGATCTTATGGTTTAAGTGCGAGGAACATGATATTTAATAAAGAAAGGTAACACACAAAATGTTAAAAACGCCCCTTTGGACGTAATTTAAAATCTGAAAGATTTCAGATTTTTTTTTTTTTTTTTTTTTTTTTTTTTTTTTTTTTTCCTCTCTTCTTTGGGACACAAAATCTTATGTTCCAAATCAGCTGTTCAAAATACAGAGGCAAATAATAGGAAAAAATTCTATCATACTATTTCATCATTAATGAAGATATTAACGAAATTTTTACATTAATTTAATAAAGAAAGGCTTAATTGTTCACAATGCAGTTGTGCATTTACTTCTTACAAAAGTTTTTCAATAAGTATTTTCCTCTAGTAGCAATACTTTCACTTTTGCCGGGATACCAACTCATGAACTGAAAACAGTAAAACACTTCAAAAAGTGTTTTCTCCAAGGCATTAAATTAGTATCTGTGTTTAAGTCAGCAATTGAACATTTACAATCCAACGGTAGTATAGTTATTTTAAAATAACTTTAACATCCCCATCAACCTAAAGAAAACAAGTTTCGGGCATTGGTCCAATTAATTACGTAATGTTTTCTAATATTATTTAGGAGGATCTCGCTGACTGAGTTAAAGTTACTGCAATAACTTATTATAGTCTTTATATAGCAATTGTGCTTTTTGAGCAAAAATACACCTGCGTGATGCTGAAGGGTGTATTCAACAATAGGATATGAACCGAACCGGTAGAAATGTTCAGTAATTTTCAAAGACATCGAAAGAAATTTCTTAGAAATATTTATTATTTTCAATACACGGATTTTGTAACCTGGTAAAACAGAGTGTCTTGTCACCTGAGAAAAAAAATATTTGGTGCAACCCTCGTGCGAAAGTTATCCAATCAAATAAATACACACCTAAGTTTTAACTACGAAGGTTATGATAATCAATTTTTTTCATTTATATTTAAATATTACACGTGAATTTTTGGTCGTTATTCTCTTGCAATGGATTTCTGCAGCTTATTATTATGTGAGGTTTATCTATTTATTATTAACTAATAGTTCATTGAGTTAGCACTTTCCGATGACTCCTCTTTCACTCACGCTTTTCATGCCAGAATAAAATTGAGACAGCGAGCTTTTATTCAGATTAAGGTAGAAAAATGTGCTACTTATGCAAGAGTTTCGGAAGTTAGTGGCCCACCAGCGGTCGAACGGTAAAGACGCTGAACACTGGTAGTTCGGTCCGAGGTTGGAATCCCGCGAACGGGCTGGCTGCATGGGCGATTTCGTGGTTTTCCCCATGTGTAACGTGTATACGAGAATCCTCCACGAAGGCATCCCTCCCTTTAGGCAGATAGCCCTCGTGTGCTTTGCCATAATTGAATAATCCCTAATCCCCTTCGGAAGTTAGTTTTAGAGCGTGTTTGCCTATTCTAGGTTACGTTGTGCTGTGATTGTTGAGTGCGTCTAACCATTTAGCTTTGTTTCACCGGTTCTTTACAAACCAGAGTATTGCCTGCGCGTTAAATTATCCTGTGAGCCGAACCCAAGTTGGGTAACTGTTAAGTTGTGTTCGAATAAAAGGGTTTTATACACCCTTCTTCTGACTTTTATTATGTTTTAGGCTAAAAGTTAATTCTTCAACAGTCTTTTTCTATTGTGTATGCTCAAGTCTATAGTGTGCTTGCAAGTCTATAGTGTATGCTTCCAAAAAGAATTAGACTTTATAATGCGTTTATTGTCACTTATTTCTTATTATATTGTTATATGGATTCTTTTTGTGAAACATATATTAAATTGAAATTTTTATTGGAAAGGAAATCATAAATGTGTCATTAAGTAATGAATCCAGGAATTCAAAGTAATGAATCCAGGAATTCAAAGTAATGAATCCAGGAATCCTTCAGCAATTGTCTTAAAAGGTCAATTTTCGCGTATCTTTTATCGTCTGTGTACATGTTATATGCTAGCAAAATGTACTATTTTCAAACTCATAAAAAATATTATAAATTTTTGTAAGTGAGAATTTTTTCTTAAGTTACTTTCGTGTATGAAATACGATTTCTAATTTTTTCAGTCCTCTACATGAGATGTTATAAACGTTTTGAATCAACAGCCTTCGCGCTTTTGGAATAAGATACTCTGCTGCTACAGCAAGTAGTAAGACTTAACATAATAATAAGTAGTAATAACATAATATTAATACTATAATAAGACCTAATAATAAGATTTAACCCTTTTAAATTCTGCTGGTGCAGCAGCAGCAGAATTTAAAAGGGTGCATACAAAAATCTCTGAAAAAGACCCGATCCGCATCTTGCTTATAAATTTAGTATACAATAATAAGTTCTGCTTGTCCTTTTGCTCTTAAGGTTAGAACTTTATTTTTATTTTTATTTATTTATTTTTATTTATTTATTTATTTATTTATTTATTTTTTCAGATTCTTCAAGAGTACTTACCAACAGAAGATGAAGAAGATCTGTCAGTACAGTTTTCTGTCGATGCTGCTTTATCACAAAGCCTCCAAATATCATTTTCTGGTCCCCACTTTGAAACAGCCCCATTAGAATATGACAGGACTACGATCAGCGGTTCAGGAATCCAAAATATATTCCTCAAAAAGCAAGAGTTGGTGCCTGCTTGGATTTTTCATGTTCCATCGCCTCAGGTAAGTACAATGTTTGAAAAGCACATGAGGAGATAAAAATGCAATTCAAGGTAGATTATAAATTAGGAAAGGGGCATTTGAATCCTCGAATGTAAGGAATCTGGAAAATGATTCGAGATTCGAAAATTCGAATCTTAGTATTACTTCTACCATTTAAATTTTACAGACATTTAGGTTTAACGAAACTAAGAATCCTAAGAAACAATTATACCTTTGTCGGTATTCGAACTATGGATCTTCCAGCTGCTAACTATAACCCATACCCCTTCTACAACGACAGCGTGCTTGGGGGAAATCGGCCATTAATACTGTTGTTGTTGTTGCCAATGCTCACTTGTCTGACGTATAGTCAGCCCAAGCCCATGAAATTCCTCATGGCAAGGAGCGCAAGTTTACGCCTGCCGTTGGCAACAGCCTTGAGCACCTTACAGGCTACAGTGCGATTTAGCTCAATTCCAGCCTCCCTCCCCAAATTTTGATGGAGATCACCCCTGGGAGACGGGTCTGAGGGTCTCCTACCCTCCTCCCTTACCACAACCTCTCGAGAGGACCTTCTTCTCGCCGCATATTTAAAGTGCCCCCATGCTGCACGGACACTATACATTTACAAACATCCATGCCCTCTCCGGGATTCGATCTCGGATTAATACTGTTAATCTGCGAATGTAAAGAATTGTTGTATTCCTCTCTACATCTTTTGTGATTGTGAGTAGTTGTTTAAGTAGCATTTTAAGTAGCACATTCAGGTAACAAATAAATAGTCCATGGTTTGAAACTCAGCTTGGGCAGAGTTGACTTTTCCTGTTTCCATATCCGAAACATTCAATGGTCCTTACAAATTAAGAAGTATGTACTAAATGAATACAATTTGTACAGTTAAAAAGCATTTTTTCTTTAATTTCAATATAAAAAATTAAATCAGAATTGTATGTTTGATTTTAGGAATATATAAATGAAAATTAATTCTTTTATTTAATTTGATTTAACATAGAAATGGATTGCGTGTAGAGAAAAATAAAAAAGTAATTTAATGTTTTAATTTTATTAAGAAATATGCGCACCGAGCAATAATTTAATTGCATAACTGTTTTTTAAAAAGTATGATTGATGAAAAAATATAATTTACATATTTTTGGGTAGCTGTCAACAACTACAAAGAAAACAAATATCCGTCTTGTATGTATGTACACTTTAATCTGTAGTTATGTAAAATACAAAATCACCGTTAAATTTCCGAAATTCAGTTCTTTTATGTTTGTTTGTTAAGTCTTATTACTTGCTATCTTGAAAGTACTTCGTATGCTGAAGTTTTTTAGTATGAATAATTTTTGAGTAAGCACATAAGATGTGATCTTATCTAGACCATATATTTGATGTTCTTTTCAAAATTCCGTTATTATTGATCGTTCTCCTGTATATGCACTTTAATTTGTCTGTATGAAAAATACGAAATTAACATTAAACTGTTTTAACTAGCAAATAACTTAAATACAGTTATGTCTATTAAGTGTTATTATAAAATATAATAAGTCGTGAAATATAAATACTGAGGGCTGAAGTTTTTAAGTATGCAGATAAAATTTGAGTATGAAGAATTTTATTTTTGACTAAGCAGATAAGCTGCGATCTCATTTAGCCCATATATTTGATAAAAAAATACAAAATCACCATTAAACTGTTAATGGTGATTAACTTCTTAAACACAGTTCTTTCATGTCTATTAAGTTTTATAATTCACTATCGTAAAATATAATTACTTCTTATTCTGAAATTTTTCCAATTGCTCCTATTTGAACTAATTTTTCTGGGTTGAAATAGTGTTTTCAACGTTGGGAAAAACTTCCTATTGACTCAAAATCATCTAGAAACTCCTCATAACTTTCAGAGCTTACATGATTAGCATATTACATTGAAATGAAATTCATTTTATTTATTTATTCCTGTAAATCTATTAATATTTAATTTTTAACTATATCTTAAAAAGCCTGGAATATACACTATCTCGACGAGAAGAAAAAGAGATGCAATAAGTCCAGTATTGCTGACGGTAACTGGAAAAACGAATGAAGCAGAAGATCGGTTGGCTGTTAAAGTATGGACTGAAATCCTTACGGAAACCAAGGTATCATCGTTAAATGTTTAAATTAATTGCTTTATTTATTTTTCTTTCCTGGAACAGGAAAAAAGAATCCAATGATAAAAATGAAATAATTTTTGTGTTTTTCGTGCTGTCGCTGTTAGCTCTCCACATGTCTACTCCAGAATTTGATTATTTCGGAGAAATTACTTACGGGAGATATTTTCCTCCTTTGATGATAGGTAAAACATCGAAACGTTTGCATCTTGCAGATAAAACTTTTATAACAATTTATTCTGAAAAAATATTCTTCTATCAAAACAATCTTAAATTTTGCATCATAATGTTTTTATATTTAATCTCAATCTTAACTTTTATAGGATTTTTTCACTACACTAGACTCCGCTCAATGTGATTGTGGTTAATGTTATTACTCGGATATTTTTAATCGATTTGCCAATCTCGATTAAAAATTAAATTTTTTTAACTGAAATAAAGTTGCCAAATAAGTTCAAAATAATTTATAAAAATTGCCAAGTGTCAGAGAAATGTCGCCAAGTAGGAGATTATGGCTCCAAACAGCTTGGTTTCAAAGACAAATATGATTCACATTAACCTCGCCTAATGTACTAAATATATAACAACATTTTATTACTAATAGATGTTAATAAAATTTCTCTTATTCTGCATATGTTCAGCTTCCAGAATATATTTAATCTTCTATGGATAAAAATATGCAGTTTAATTCATAAGAATTCCATGCAATTTTGAAATCTAGAGAATTTATAGTATTTATAGCGTTTCTTGTGAGTATGTTTAAAAGACATCCATCAGACATTAAAAATTGTCATTAAAGAGAACGAATCGTTGTCACAGAAGAGTATCAAATCTTACAAGTATTGATTCTGTTTTTTAACTGATACAAGACAGTGATTCTTAAATAAATTTTGTAATGAAACCTTTTACGCTATGTTAAAGGCGTCCAAAGCACCTTTAAATATTTAGACACCTTTAAGTATTTTCATTCGAAGACATAAAAATAAGCATCTTTAACATAGCATAAAAGCACCTTTAAATATGCTCATTCGTAGACATAAAAAAGAGACGCAGTTTAGGCAAATAATATTTCCTCATTCAAAATAAAATGCTCTAATATTGTGTAGTAGTGGTTATCTCAGTGTCTAAAGGAAGAAAGCCGTAAACTTCTTTCTAAAAGACACTATGCTATGTTTAAAGTCATCACGTACATTTTAATAGAAACATTCAGAATGCAAAAATAAACATTTAAGCACGTCTTTAGCCACAATGTCTATTTCATCTAAAGGTTACTTCACTCCAGTTATGGATGCGGATACAGATTATAAAAAGGCTTACATGGCTCCACAGCGGTCTTAATAAGAAAATTATGTCTGCAAGGTTATATGACTTTGATGAACTAGCAGCTGAAACACCGATAAAGGTGAAGACTATAAGGTAGAGGTGGAAAGACCATCGTCCTCCTGTACTGCACCCTTGTCAGTCAGATGGAAAGGTATGAGAGACAGGAGTCATGAGACACAGGAAAAGTCAGCAATTATCAGCATGGGTTAAGTACAGTTTGGTGTATTATCCATGACAGTGGTGTTTTAACAGTGGACTTCATTGAGTTTGCAACTGCACCGACATTATGTAAGAACACAGTACTCTGGAACTCGCCACTGCATCGCCAAGCAACAGATATACAGAAGCTCTATAGACAAATTAGCCTAATTGTACACTAGTGTGCAAAACTAAAGCAACTTTTCAGAGTTTGGCCGTAATTCCGCAAAAAATCAATTGGGACTTTTGAAATTCATAGTACAAAGGAACAACATAATACTTAAAGGATGAGGAAAATATAATAGAAAAAAATAATAATAATAATAAGTAGGACGCATACAGTACGGAAGAAATAGAAAAATGCTTTATTGGCAGAATGACGTTGCTACAAAAAACTCTTCGGTCAAGAGAGAGAACAACAAAAGATAGTAATGGATGTGACCTTACTTAATTGCAATGGTTGCGTTGCATAGCCTGTCGATACTCAATACCAGATTATTTAACAGTTCTTATGGTAAGAGTGCCTATTCTTCAATAAGCATCTAGTTCAGTTGTCTTGTGTTCTCCAGAAAGTACGATCGACACGATCGTATTTTCTCCCTAAAGAAGGGAAGAAGGCGTTCCCTACCAGCCGTCTGTCTAAAGAATCCTACATATGGTCAATAGGATTTAAGTCAGAGGAGCACGCTAGCCAATCCATTTTGTGGATATATTCGTATAACATCATGAGTCATGTGTTACCGTCCACTTTCATCCATAAAAATAAAGTCTGGACCAATGGTATCCTGGAAAAGACACACGTGGAGGAGTATAACGCCATCACACTAACGATCTTCGTAAGTGAACTTCTGTAAAAAATGTGGAGCTCCGTCCATCAGTTCAACATAGTACCTCCCCATATAACCACGCTTGGACCACCCCACGGTCTCTTTCCCTGACGTGTTAGGGAGATTAAAACGTTTCCTTACCCCTCCCATATCAAGTGGCCTCGAGAATTGTTTATTAGACTGAAACGACGCTCATCGGTTAACAGGACGTGACTCCATGATGATGTCTAGTTTTGTGTTCTTTACACTATTTAAACCATGCTGCAGATGGGCTGCTGTCAATCATATGCTGCTTTCAGGACGGCAGACGAATAGACTACTGAAGTCATCTAGACACAGTTAAACTGGGACGCCTATCGTCTGGTTGCCTTACGAAATTGCTGAGCAGTCTTCTCTGCTATCTATTGGGTTGAAACATAAGTAATGGCCGTTTTTTTTTAATTTGAAAACTTTTTTAACAAAACAAAAACAATAAATTAGTCAATAATATCCGAGTTTTGGGACTTTCTCCATGGACCCAAGATGTCGAACTATAGTCATTTGGCTACAACCCATTCGTTCGGCTAATTCTCAAGTTGTTTGAACGCGTCTTCGTGCAGAAGTTTAATCAAACGCTCTTCATCAACTTCTTTGGCCATCCGAAACGAGCAGCGCCTTCGAGGTCGAAATTTCCATTTTTAAATTTGGCAAGCCAATTTCTTGCAGTTCGTTCAGGCATGCATTGCACCTTCTCCATACACTTTACAAATCTCTCGGGCAGCTTCTGCAGCATTAGCGCCTCCATTAAACGCAAAAAGAAGAGGGTGTCGAAAATGCTTATTTTTGTCGACACTTCATTTTAATGACTTTACACTTCATTTTAATGATCTGAAAAATAACAAAAATTAGCTCAGACAAAAAAATCAAATACGCCATCCTGTAGAGGAAAAGATTCTCTTTCGAATAACACAAAACATTATGCCAATACTTTTTTTTATTTTTACCGCGTAATTTTAAGCACAGCATAAATGGCCATTACTTATGTTTCAACCCAATAGTTCCGATCTCGTTTCACCTGGAGGGCGACATATCGGTCATCAATTACAGTTATTTTCCTTAGCCGACCAACAGCAACTTTTCTTACAAGTGTACCTGTCCGTTTGGAAGGCATCGCAACTCGTGAAACAAAACTTTTATATAAGTTCCAAACTCTTGGGCGACAGACGTCAAACTACGCCCGTCCTCAGGCTTGCCGATCATTCTACACCTGCAAAAGGCCTCCCTTATTTTGTAGCTATACTGCAGGTACAAGCTCACTTTCATTTATAGAAGAATGTCTGGAAGTGTGCCTTCCTTTCTTAATTTCAAGTTACCTTGCATTGCGCGTATTGACTCTTCGCGTTTTGTGTGCCCTGACGTATCCTCTGACGTCATGGTACTGGTATTTATTTGCATATGCATCACTTTTCTCTCCCTTCATTGGTTCTTCCTTGTACTAATCGCAAGAGTCCTTTTTCAACAATTTCATGGTTGCATGTTGAAAAACAAAATTTGTTACTTAAGTTTTGCTCACTAATATGTAATACACGTATTCAGACAGAAGTACTTCAGGTTTCGTTGTCTTTCAAAATCCCATCGGTGGGTACAGAAGAAGTCAGCAGTTGTACCCTCTACCTAATTACTAATCTCTCAAGAAAGGAAAGGAAATAAGATTTTATTCTTAATTAAATTATATTAATTAAAATATGAGTGCTTTTTAACTAACTAATTAAATTCATAGTGGATTTAAATGCGAATAATTTAAAATTTGAAGTAATTTTAATTTAAAGTGATTTTCAATTTATTTGAGAAGCAGTAGACTAAGGGATACAAATTGAAAAAATATCCATTAGCTGGATGAAATTTTCGTAGAACTTTAAGTGCGAAGCTAAATTTTCGACTTCGCTGTGGTGATCCGGATGCCAAGTAGGATATCTACCATTAATTTTATAAATGTTTCCCTTGAGCCTCCTCTTTCTAGTTGACTGAACTACCAGTAAATCAGTGCTGAAAACAGTAATTTAGATCTGCAAGCAATGTGTTACACGTAGATCAATTATTTGAGCTGGATCTGCAGCAAATGCATTTTCAGAAGCTGCGGAAAGCAATTTTCAAAACAGAAAATAATTTGAGAAAAGCGAGAAGCAAATTTCAGAAAGCAACTTTCAAAACATTTGTGGCCTGCATTTTTGTCGTATTCAATAAGATCCTGATTAATACAGCCTTTTCCGTACCATAATACTCAGGTTAGTACCTGCCGTAAAGGCCACGTGGTCCAAATATTGCCTTCCACTACTGAAACGTATATATTTCAACTTTCAATAAATAATATACTGTTGCGTTCTACGGATTCGTGGATTTGGAGTAATTGATGACAACACTTGATGAAGAATCAAAACACAATTTATTAGCCGGTATTACACAGGAGAAATCCAAAGACACGTTTACAGTCTTCGCAAAACTACGATAAGCACGCTGAAACAACCAGAAACACAAGTCTTCAGGCTACAATTGTGAAGACATTTTCAGGCGCGATGCAGACTCCCTCTTGGGTACTCGATTTTCGCTATCCCAGTGTAAATACAATTAAAGATTTTCGAACACACGTTCCGCATGCAAAGCTTCCGACTCGATTCGGTCGCTCTCAAGCTAATCTCTGAGCTCAGAACACTACTACACTAACTGAATTCAAAATACTCTCCCTCCACATACAGGCAAGGTATATATAGCTTTTGACCTACCTTAGAAAACATTCTCGAGAAAACCGCTAAGAATGATCACGTTCCGTCTATGGCATATCGCCAATTTTGTCGCCAAATGGGGGGTTTCGAGCCAAATCTGGCAACCATAACCCCCTCCTTTTGCGAGGAAGCTGTCTTACCGCAGCTAGACATTTCATAACAGTGCGTTTCTTCTTTTTCGACTTCTTTTAACCTCAGTTTTTTTTTTTTTTTTTTTTTTTTTTTTTTTTTTTTTTTAATGCAGATTGCTTTAGCTTCTAGGAAATGCTTCTATTTAGTACCGATTATTTTCACCGCTAGGAAACGAGGCTGTTTTATATTGATTACTTTATATATATGGTAAAAAAAAGGGAAAAAATATCCATTAAAATGATTTCTATTGAAGGTCCCCTTTACTAAGTAAGTAATATTCATAGTTTCTTTCATGATATGCAAATCTAATATACTAACCATTTAATGTTATTTTACACATGCTGTTATTTAATTCCAGCTTACTTAGTGAGTTCATAACTTCTGATACTGTTCAATGATTTATGTTTAGATTATTCCCCCACCAGTACTCATATTTGCAGAAATCAAACGAGGATCATATCCAGTAAGCGGAGCAAACGTCGTTGCTTATGTTCACCATCCACGAAACCAAACGATATCGGAATTTGCACTTATTGACGATGGTCTTGGAGGTAAACTTTATTAAAAAAAAAAAAAAAAAAAAAACACTAAACATTTAAAACAGTGCAGAATTGAGCCGAAATTCTGCCTTAAAGTACTGACGTAGAAAACTTTCATATCTTAATGCTTTATTGTTGATGTTTTTCCCTGCTAAAAATAAATTATAAAGTAAGCTCAATTTAATTTCACTAATTTTTTTTTTTCCCTTAGATATCGATATAACAAGAGATGATGGTATATATACCCGCTACTTCACTGACTTTACAGCTCCCGGATTCTACAACGTTTACGTTAAATTTGGCGGACTGAATAACAGTGCTGATCTTTTGAAAGGTATGTCGAGGCAAATATTCACAAGATTGTTAACAACTTTACTTGTAAATCGTTTACCACCCTTGTATACATGTAGAGTCAATAATGCTTCTACATTTAAAAGTTGAAAAATGATCGTAAGATAATTCCTTTGAAATGTAAACAATTATTGTCTATCTATCTATTAAATAACATCCACTGGAACTTACATACTTTCTCCAGTGCTAATAACCAATGCTAAGAATTCGTCGAAACGATGGTAAAACATCTCTTTTCGTAGATCGCCCAAAGCGTCGTTTCTAATAGATTTGACTCGCCGAAAACATGGAACCTTGTAGAATCATCTTAATCAGAGATAATACTTTGATGTTTTAGAATGCTGTTTATCTCAATAAGATGCTGTTGCCTTGATAGTAGCGGGTTCAGTGAATACGAAATTGGAAAATGAGGTAATAATGACAGAGATTCGTTTCTGGTGAAAGAAACCTAAGCTTTTTTGCTCAAAGCACGACATCGCGCCCAAAGTATCGAAAGCTTATGAAATATTTTTTCTCTTCTTTCCACATGCCTTCATCGTGTAACTGGAAGCACGTCTGAAGCATAATCAGGAGGTTCCGAAACTCGAATCGCAGTGAGGGCGTTGAACACTTTTTACGTCTCCTACATCGATGAAACATGAAACTTAGATTCTATAAGTGGTGCCTAAACTAAAAGGAAAAGGATGATAACTCGTCACCACAAGGATTTGGTGATCGGATCCCCTCATCTCCAGTCTCTCTTTAAAAGGGGGGAGTATATAAAGTATTTTCTCTATCTTTCCGAGAGCCTTCATGATGTAAGTAGAAGCACGTTCGACACGTAATCCGGAGGTTCGGAGTTCGAATCCCGGCGGATTTCATTACTTTCCTGGCATCGATAAATCTAATGACAAGCTATTTTAACACCGTTTAACTAAAACACGAATTACCGAATATGTGTTGAATGTCACTCCGTATATTTCTTCAATAAAAATTCATTCGTTTAACCGGTATAGTGTTTAGTGACGCTGACTGGCGTATCGATGGGGATATGAGCTCGAATCCCGGAGAAGACATGGATGTTTGTAAACGTATAGTGTCTGTGCGGCAATAAGGCACTCAAAATGCACAGCGAACCGAAAATCCTATCCAGGGCTAGCGGTAAGGAAACAGGGATGAGAGACCATATTACACCTCTCTCCAGGGAATTTCCCTGCAAAACTGGGGTGGAAGCTCAACAGTTAGCTAAGTATATCAATACCTGAATCACTTATGGCACTGTAGAAGTTCTGGCCTAGGTTTTAAGTCATGATACCCAAGAATTGCACTGCAAACATCCTCAGCAGAACTCATAGCATATAGAAATACTTAATAAGAATTGACCCCTTAGGACAAAAATAATAAATATATTATAACACAAATTTTTAATCTATGAAGTAGACATTTGCGAATCGGAAATCTAACCAATTTTGCAACTGCTTAAAGTCTGTTCCTTTTAACTAACACAGAAGCAAGAATCTATTTGCACCTCTATACAAGTCGGATATAAAAACTAAACGTGATGATACTCTCAGAGTATCACTTAATTTTTCTAACCCTTTAATGTAGGTTAAACCTTTTTCCCTGTTTCTTTTAACTAACACAGAAGCAAGAATCTAATTGCACCTCTATACAAGCCTGATATAAAAACTAAATCTGATGATAGTCGACAGAGTATCACTTGATTTTCTAACCCTTTATTGTAAGTTAAACCTTTTTCCTGTTCCTTTTAACAAACACAGAAGCAAGAATCTAATTGCACCTCTATACAAGTCGGATATAAAAACTAAACCTGATGATGCTCGACAGAGTATCACTTAATCTTCTGATCCTTGTAAGTTAAAACCTTTTCCCTGTTCCTTTTAACTAATACAGAAGCAAGAATCTAATTGCACCTCTATACAAGTCGGATATAAAAACTAAACCTGATGATACTCTACAGAGTGTCACTTAAATTTATAACCCTTTATTGTAAGTTAAACCTTTTCCCCTGTTCCTTTTAACAAACACAGAAGCAAGAATCTAATTGCACCTCTATACAAGTCAGATATAAAAACTAAACCTGATGATGCTCGACAGAGTATCACTTAATCTTCTGATCCTTGTAAGTTAAAACCTTTTCCCTGTTCCTTTTAACGAACACAGAAACAAGAATCTAATTGCACCTCTATACAAGTCGGATATAAAAACTAAACCTGATGATACTCGACAGAGTAACACTTAATCTTCTCATCCTTTATTGTAAGTTAAAATCTTTTCCCTGTTCCTTTTAACTAACACAGAAGCAAGAATCTAATTGCACCTCTATACAAGTCGGATATAAAAACTAAACCTGATGATACTCTACAGAGTATCACTTAAATTTATAACCCTTTATTGTAAGTTAAACCTTTTTCCCTGTTCCTTTTAACAAACACAGAAGCAAGAATCTAATTGCAACCTCTATACAAGTCGGATATAAAACTAAACCTGATGATGCTCGACAGAGTATCACTTAATCTTCTGATCCTTGTAAGTTAAAAAACCTTTTCCCTGTTCCTTTTAACGAACACAGAAACAAGAATCTAATTGCACCTCTATACAAGTCGGATATAAAACCTAAACCTGATGATACTCGACAGAGTAACACTTAATCTTCTCATCCTTTATTGTAAGTTAAAATCTTTTCCCTGTTCCTTTTAACTAAGACAGAAGCAAGAATCTAATTGCACCTCTATACAAGTCGGATATAAAAACTAAACCTGATGATACTCTACAGAGTATCACTTAAATTTATAACCCTTTATTGTAAGTTAAACCTTTTTCCCTGTTCCTTTTAACAAACACAGAAGCAAGAATCTAATTGCACCTCTATACAAGTCAGATATAAAAACTAAACCTGATGATGCTCGACAGAGTATCACATAATCTTCTGATCCTTGTAAGTTAAAATCTTTTCCCTGTTCCTTTTAACTAATACAGAAGCAAGAATCTAATTGCACCTCTATACAAGTCGGATATAAAAACTAAACCTGATGATACTCTACAGAGTGTCACTTAAATTTATAACCCTTTATTGTAAGTTAAACCTTTTCCCCTGTTCCTTTTAACAAACACAGAAGCAAGAATCTAATTGCACCTCTATACAAGTCAGATATAAAAACTAAACCTGATGATGCTCGACAGAGTATCACTTAATCTTCTGATCCTTGTAAGTTAAAAACCTTTTCCCTGTTCCTTTTAAAACGAACACAGAAACAAGAATCTTATTGCACCTCTATACAAGTCTGATATAAAAACGAAACTGATGATACTCGACTGAGTAACACTTAATCTTCTCATCCTTTATTTTAAGTTAAAATCTTTTCCCTGTTCCTTTTAACTAACACAGAAGCAAGAATCTAATTGCACCTCTATACAAGTCGGATATAAAAACTAAACCTGATGATACTCGACAGAGTATCACTTAAATTTCTAACCCTTTATTGTAAGTTAAACCTTTTCCCCTGTTCCTTTTAACAAACACAGTAGCAAGAATCTAATTGCACCTCTATACAGGTCAGATATAAAAACTAAACCTGATGATGCTCGACAGAGTATCACTTAATCTTCTGATCCTTGTAAGTTAAAACCTTTCCATGTTCCTTTTAACTAACACAGAAGCAAGAATAGAATTGCACCTCTATACAAATCGGATATAAAAACTAAACCTGATGATACTCGACAGAGTATCACTTAATCTTCTCATCCTTTATTGTAAGTTAAAATCTTTTCCCTGTTCCTTTTAACTAACACAGAAGCAAGAATCTAATTGCACCTCTATACAAGTCGGATATAAAAACTAAACCTGATGATACTCGACAGAGTATCACTTAATCTTCTCATCCTTCATTGTAAGTTAAAATCTTTTCCCTGTTCCTTTTAACTAACACAGAAGCAAGAATCTAATTGCACCTCTATACAAGTCAGATATAAAAACTAAACCTGATGATGCTCGACAGAGTATCACTTAATCTTCTCATCCTTTATTGTAAGTTAAAATCTTTTCCCTGTTCCTTTTAACTAACACAGAAGCAAGAATCTAATTGCACCTCTATACAAGTCAGATATAAAAACTAAACCTGATGATGCTCGACAGAGTATCACTTAATCTTCTGATTCTTGTAAGTTAAAACCTTTTCCCTGTTCCTTTTAACGAACACAGAAACAAGAATCTAATTGCACCTCTATACAAGTCTGATATAAAAACGAAACTGATGATACTCGACTGAGTAACACTTAATCTTCTCATCCTTTATTTTAAGTTAAAATCTTTTCCCTGTTCCTTATACCTAACACAGAAGGAAGAATCTAATTGCACCTCTATATAAGTCGGATATAAAAACTAAACCTGATGATACTCGACAGAGTAACACTTAATCTTCTCATCCTTTATTGTAAGTTAAAATCTTTTCCCTGTTCCTTTTAACTAACACAGAAGCAAGAATCTAATTGCACCTCTATACAAGTCGGATATAAAAACTGAACCTGATGATACTCGACAGAGTATCACTTAAATTTATAACCCTTTATTGTAAGTTAAACCTTTTTCCCTGTTCCTTTTAACAAACACAGTAGCAAGAATCTAATTGCACCTCTATACAGGTCAGATATAAAAACTAAACCTGATGATGCTCGACAGAGTATCACTTAATCTTCTGATCCTTGTAAGTTAAAACCTTTTCCCTGTTCCTTTTAACGAACACAGAAACAAGAATCTAATTGCACCTCTATACAAGTCGGATATAAAACTAAAACCTGATGATACTCGACAGAGTAACACTTAATCTTCTCATCCTTTATTGTAAGTTAAAATCTTTTCCCTGTTCCTTTTAACTAACACAGAAGCAAGAATCTAATTGCACCTCTATACAAGTCGGATATAAAAACTAAACCTGATGATACTCTACAGAGTATCACTTAAATTTATAACCCTTTATTGTAAGT